GATGGGTTTTATTTTTACAAAGTAGGGCCTATGCTTTGTCCCTTCCTAAAACAAGATATTTGTATCTGGTTTAAACAACCTGTTTGATGAAACAAAGTTGGACTTAAGTATGTAACATATATGGTGGAAATAAATATGCTATATTTTCAAATTAGAAAAAAAAAACAACACTTTTGCCTAAATACACCTTATTGATATTTGTTCGCATTTTTACGTTATCATAGAAGTTCCCGTAAATTTTTGACATCACAATAGAAAATGTATGACGAAATCACAACATCTCAGGTCAAGTGTTGCAGAATACTTAGTAGCGATAAGGTCTATCAGAAACCGGGTAATCGATTTTCAGGTTTATCTTTGGTGAGGATTTCACTTTGGTAAATAATTATTTCAAATGATTTAATAAAGAAATAATTCATGCAAGCCATAGATTTGATTTCAAATTTTATCTCGAGCGTTAGCGAGAGATAGAATTAACGAACATAACGACCCAGGCCATGTGAAAATGATAACAAATCTATGGCTTGTATGAATTATTTCGATCCTAATAGGACAAATACGGAAATTTGAAAAAATGAAGCGAAGGTAAGATTGTCATGTATATGGCTGTTGTCTTTTACCCCCTTTAAGATAAAAGCTACGCATTTCAAATAAATTTAAGGCTTGCATGAATTATTTCTTAAATAACCACTAGAAAGTATGTGTTCAATCCTTATACTTCTTAACCCAAACATTTTTTTTCCGTTGGCTACTATTTACTGTAAAATCCCAAAATCGTTCTGTTCATACTTCAATTTGAACACAACGAAATCCACATAGTGTTTGCACATAGGTTACGATACATGTGGATTTACGTGGGAGGTAAATAGTAACAGCCATTAATATGGACATCTCTGAGTCGGCGCTAAGTAAAAATAGGTGTTCAATCCTTATAATTCTTAACCCAAACATTTTTTTCCGTTGGCTACTATTTACTGTAAAATCCCAAAATCGTTCGGGTCATACTAGAAAATATTAACCACTAGAAAATATGTGTTCAATCCTTATAATTCTTAACCCAAACATTTTTTTCCGTTGGCTACTATTTACTGTAAAATCCCAAAATCGTTCGGGTCATACTTCCCTTTATCTGTAAAGAAGAGCCGGGACGTTAATGCGCCAAGATCATTCATGAAATTTTATTTTATTTTGATTTTATACTTTTTTTAAGATCTTACGCATTAATTCATTTTGTTATGCATTAGAATAGGAAAAACGGTTCTGTAGTTCGTTCTTTTTCAATTTCAATTTGAACACAACGAAATCCACATAGTGTTTGCACATAGGTTACGATACATGTGGATTTACGTGGGAGGTAAATAGTAACAGCCATTAATATGGATATCTCTGAGTCGGCGCTAAGTATAGATATAGCGAGAATTTTATCACGCTGTTGTTAACAAAGCGAAAGAAGCACGTCACATTAGAATCAATAACTATAACTATAAAAAAATTCATCAAAGATAGCAGGCATATAATTTTGTTTTCGTCTACTAAAGACTAATTAGTGACGCTCGAATAAAAAATTAACAGGCCAAATAAAGCAATAAGATGAAAAACATTGAGGACCGAAAATTCCAAATTGTTTTCCCAAATATAGCTTAGCTAATCTATTCTTTGGGTAACCATCCGAAGTATTTCGAACAATTCAAAGTTTTGTAAACAGTTAATTTATAAATACAACAAACAACAATAACAATGATAATACACGTCAACACTGAAGTGCTATATGAACACAGCCTTATATAATAGAGAATGGACACAAGGAATGTGCCAAAGAGACAACAATACAGAAGTGTTGGGTTGGTGATACCTTCGGGGAGGAAACCTCCACCAGCAGTGGCAAAGCCCCAGTGGTTGTAAAAAACTCATCAAAAATAGCAGGCTTATAACTTTGTACGCCAAACACGCGTTACGTCTAAAAAAGACTCACCAGGGACGCTCGAATTAAATACTAAGTAAGTTAACAGGCCAAATAATACACGAAGTTAAAGAGCAATGAGGGCCAAATATTCCGCAATGTTTTGCCAAATACAGCTAAGGTAATCTATTTCTTGGGTAAAACATCTTTAGTATTTCTAACAATTCAAAGTTTTGTAAACAGTTGATTTATTAATATGAAATTATCAATGATAATACACGTCAACACAGAAGTGCTGCATGAACACAACCTTGTAGAATAGAGAATGGAAACAAGGAATGTGTCAAAGAGACAAACACCCGACCAAAAGGAAGATAACAGCCCAAGGCCAACAATGGGTCTTCAACGCATCAAGAAAATCCCACACCCGGAGGCGGGCTTCAGCTGGCCCCTAAACAAGAATGTATACTAGTTCATTATGTATGCTTGTTCATTACAGTACCAAACAGACCTTCATCTATATATGTACAGTCACCGTATGATGTGTTTTACAAGAAAGGAGAAACGGCAGGAATACAATGCGTTGCAACTGGTGTTCCCGAACCTATGTAAATATTGTATAAATATTTTTGTTTTCTATTGAAAATGGAATTAAGGTTTGTCTGTATCTTTATATATTATACTTTCATGAAATAGAAGACACTACACTCTAATTCAGGTTACATAGACGTACCTATTCTACTACAAATGTAGTTAAAGTAGACTCTACCATTGTGACGAAAATTAAGTTTGTGATTTTTTAATCTTTTGCACAACTATTTAATATTTAAGTGTTTTCATGCACTGGTTTTTATTGAATGTTCTTTTATCTTTGAAGAGTTTTTATGTACCTACTCTTAGTCTACTGATCAAGCTTTAAAGAAGGAAGGTTGAGATCTGAAAACACTAATTAAATCCCAACACATATGCCTATGCCTTGTCAATGCATGGATGTCTTTTGTTATATAAAGAACATCCGTTGTTTGACCTGCTAGTCAAATACGTTTTGTTAAAATATACTTTTTCACTATTTTTGTCTTTTGGAAAATGTTGTTTATGCTGTATTTAGACCCCTCTACCAAGAAATTTGTTTTGCATGCACACGTATAAAAATTGCGGTGTTTATCCAACGCAATCATAGGTTTGAATGTTGTTTTCAATTTAGATTTGTTTATATTTTTTCGTTTGGGCTTGTATTATATTTGCCTTCGGGTTTATTTGACCCGTTCGTCCTATTTCGACTCTTCAAATATCAAGAGTCTATCCTAAATTGAGGTAAATTATATGGCCTTCCAAATACCGTTTCGATTCCTAACATCACTGAAGAGACATTAATTGTCGATATCCGGATATGGTGTACTAATTTTTGCACCTTTTGTTTGCGGTATACCATCTTTTCCGCAAGTTTATTGTTTTCTGTTTGGTATTAAATTAATAGTCAAGATCCATTTTGTTACATCTTGTGATCCGTTTATTTGGCAATCGCCAATGGCAGTCAGCAGGGTTTAAGAACATCCACTGTTCGACCTGCTAGTCAAATGCGTTTTGTTAAAATATACTTTTCACTTTTTTGGTCTTTTGGAAAATGTTGTTTGTGCTGTATTTAGACCCCTCTACCAAGAAATTTGTTTTGCATGCACACGTATAAAAATTGCGGTTTTTATCCAACGCAATCATAGGTTTGAACGTTTTTTTAATTTAGACTTATATTTATATATATATTGATGTTTTTATTTTGGTGTTGATTGACAGATCTTTTATCGTCTCTGTCCAATTCATTCGAACTTCATAAGACTAGATGTGATTAAGAGCTTGATACATTGTATAAACACCTGTCTATTGGTAAATATATAAATAAGGAAATGTGGTATGATTCCCAATGAGATAACTATATCCAGAGATCAAATGACTTAGATGGAAAGAACTATAGGTCACTGTACGTTAGCTATAAAGGGTCGAAAATAAATCAAAGGAGAAAACCGACGGCCTGATCAACAGAAATATGAAATGAAACATTTAATGGAAAACCAATATGGCAGACAACAAACAACGACAACTACTGAATTATTTATACCTGTAGTTAATGTTAGTACCGATAAAGACAATATTCAAAGATCTTACTGCAATGGCAAATCAATAGCCTTAAAGAATAAATTTATTCAAAGGTTCAACAAGTTTACTCGGACCGTATCCTCATTTACAGGATTTATAAACAACATCTCCGTAAAAAAAGGATGTGATGTCTTGTTTGAAATAAGGTTTCTACAAGTACAGCCAAACTTCCAACCAAATCTTTGTATCCATAAACGAATTTAGTGCAGGTTTTAAGTAGTTTGTGGAAACGAAACTCCTGACTTAATTACGTACAAGTTAAACATAGATTACGTTCATTGAAATCTGAAGACACGTGCAAAAATTTAAATAACAGACTGTATATCATCCTCCTGATGTTTTTTTTTTGTGTCGTAAGGTTGCTGTCTCATTGACGTATACACCCCATCTCCTTGTATTTACATTCGATATACTACAAAGACTTAATGGTGTCCCTAGGTGTCTTTTGTCTGCTAGTACTTGTGTTGTTAATGTTGTTGTGTCGTTGGCGTTTACACCCCCTGTTACGTTTTAATTACTCGCATTCAACAAAATAAGCACTATTTGTTAAAGGTATAATTCTACTTATCTGATTTTTCATAATAGATATCGATGGACAATGGATAAAACAGAGTTTAACCCTAGTGGACATGGTGATGATGTAGTCCAGCTCCCAGATTCCGGAACAATTATTTTCAACAGACCAGGAAGCGATAATGAAGGAATTTATCAATGCATTGCAATAAATGAACACGGAACGTCAATAACTGTTAATGTTAACGTCAGACAAGCTTTGTTAACGTCCTTTCCGTTTGACCTAGATCAAAGCATACCTATAAAACGTGGACATTCGCTAAAACTTCCATGTACACCAGAAACAAGTATACCAAAAGCTGAATTAAGATGGGTTCTTAGAGATACTAAATCTAATGGAAGAATCGAGGCTATCAATTTCAACAACAGAATTACAATGGATTTAGAAGGTTTGAAAGATTAATACAAAATAGATACAAACATTCAATGTCGAAATTTATATTCAGTGTTATAATTAATTATTTCAAATGTAATGCCAATTATTTAAGTTTTCTGGATTGTGTATTACATAGTTTGTTAATGATTTACAATCCATGTTTAAGGTGAAGAAATGAGGTAACCTGATATTTCCCCGAACTTGTCTGTCCCTATATTGATTGCTTGCGCTAGCTTCAGGTCCAATGGCAAACATTTCATGCATATTCAGGACGACCCCCATATTGTATACATTATCAATTTCTGCTGATTATTTGTATTTTAGAAATATTTTGCATTGTTTATTTTTCTGTTATATGTTTCGTCTTATGTTATACATTCATGTCTAAAATGAAAATAAATGATCAAAAGAAAATGAAAAAGGAAGAAAAGTTAAAATAAGAAAAAAAAAAAAAAACCAAATATTTGTAGTATAGGGACAGATGAATTCAATCAAACATGGTGTTGCCATTCGTACATATTTTCGTATAATCGTTTCTCATGTTACTTCTGAAAAAAACACTTCAGTCACACACTGATTAGCAATATCATCAGAATAGACCTTATTCCTATTTAGTCAAATTCTAAAAAAAAAAGTCATTAAGACAACATCTAGTCCTGTTGGGTCAAGTGTTGAAAAAACAAAGGTAATCAGTAACGATTGGTTGACTGTTGGCTGCTTGACTCATCATCAGTAATGAGCTGAGGAAGGAAAAGGTCTATTAGGAAGACGTTGTGAGATATATAACGTTCAAACCTATGTTTGCGTTGGATAAAAACCGCAATTTTTATACATGTGCATGCAAAACATGAAAAACAAATTTCTTGGTAGAGGGGTCTAAATACAGCACAAGCAACATTTTCCAAAAGACCAAAAAGTGAAAAGTATATTTTAACAATATATATATATATATAAGTCTAAATTGAAAACAACGTTCGAACCTATATATATATCAAGTACTGTGTTACGACGCTAGACATGCAAAAACTGACGAGTAAAGGTAACATCCGGCCACCGAAAGCTAGGTGGTCGAGTGGTCTAGCGCGACGGTCATATTACAAGGCGATTTGGTGCCACGATATCTCAGTAGCATGAGTTCGAATTCCGGATAGGGAAGAACAAAAAAATTTGCTTCTGCAAATTAACAGATCTAACATTGTTGGGCTGTTAATTAGACGAATTATATATATATATACATTTTGATCCATTTTGTTACATCTTGTGATCCGTTTATTTGGCAATCGCCAATGGCAATCAGCAGGGTTTAAGAACATCTGTTGTTTGACCTGTTAGTCAAATGCGTTTTGTTTAAATAAAGATTCTCACTTTTTTGGTCTAATAGAAAATGTTGTTTGTGCTGTATTTAGACCCCTCTACCAAGAAATTTGTTTTGCATGCACACGTATTAAAATTGTGGTTTTTATCCAACGCAATCATAGGTTTGAACGTTGTTTTCAATTCAGACTTGTTTATATTTTTTCGTTTGGGCTTGTTTTATATTTGCCTTCGGGTTTATATGATCCGTTCATCTTATTTCGACTCTTCAAAATCCAAGAGTGTATCCTAAATTGAGGTAAATTCTATGGCCTTCCAATACCGTTTCGATTCCTAACATCACTGAAGAGACATTAATTGTCGAAATGAGGATATGGTGTACAAATTTTTGCACCTCATGTTTGTGGTACACCATCTTTTCTGCAAGTTTATTGTTTTCTGTTTGGTATTAAATTAATAATACAGATCCATTTTGTTACATCTTGTGATCCGTTTAATTGCCAATCGTCAATGGCAGTCAGCAGGGTTTAAGAACATCAGTTGTTCGACCTGTTAGTCAAATGCGATTTGTTAAAATATACTTTTCACTTTTTTTGGTCTTTCGGAAAATGTTGTTTGTGCTGTATTTAGACCCTTCTACCAAGCAATTTGTTTTGCATGCACACGTATAAACATTGCAGTTTTTATCCAACGCAATCATAGGTTTGAACGCTGTTTTCAATCTAGACTTGTATATATACCCCTCTACCAAGAAATTTGTTTTACATGCACACGTATAAAAATTGCGGTTTTTATCCAACGCAATCATAGGTTTGAACGTTGTTTTCAATTTAGACTTTTATATATATAAATATATATATATCTGTGTTGAATTGACAGCATGCTATTACATTTCAACAGATATATTTCAAAGAGCGGTTAAGGTTTTGCATTAAAATTTTAGAACCTTTTTGATATAAACATTTTATTTGATGGATTTTAGGTAAATCTACTTGAGACACTATTCCTAAGGTATGCTGGGTACATACACAAGAAACAGTGTCTTTCTTGCTGGAAGAATCACAGTGTTTACATAGTTAGAGTTATCTATATACTTGTTCTTTGGTCTTTGGTGGATTATTGTCTCCTTGGTAACCACATCACATCTCTTTATTTTCACATTGTTTCAATTTATTCAATCCCAGATTTAGTACATCTTATATTCTGACCAAATGATAAATTGAACGATAAAAGGTATTAAGAGGGTAAGTTATAAAGATCCTTTTCTGTGAGTTAGTTTTTTTTTCTCTTTGATTGACAGGAAATCTATACATAACTGCTGTCATCCAGGAAGACTATCAGGATGGGAAAACTTATGTTTGTACGGCAACAAACTACTTTATGAGAAAATCAACCCATGCTCCTGGATTTATTGTGCAACCAATAGGAAGTGCAGGTATTAATTTTCTTTTTAAAAACGTTTAGATGTGAAAGTCATATCATTATGTTAAAATTAATGATATTCAGTGTACTTCTTCGGTTTATCATTTCATGTTGTTTTGGAAACGAATGTGTGTTTTGACTGTTTGTCTTTGGAAGCATCTACAATTTGCACGCATGAATGACTATCACATAACGTTATGGGTAATCAACCTCTTTTGTAAATCTTTTTATATTGTTTTTCTTTTTTCAAGACAAGACAATGGCGGTCATTTACTAAACATTGAATTTTCAATTATTTACAATTTGTGTCTTTGATTTCATTCTGAAAAGGGCTGCTGTACCTTTTTTTCATATATTTCCGTGTCTTTGTTTTCTTTTTTTTTTATGAAATTGAATATTCTCTTACAATTTTTATTATATCATGTATGAGTGGAGACTTTAGAGATCCGAGGGTTGAGGTACCAAACTGTTCTGCTCTTTACAACCAGTTCTTAAATGATCTTTTCTGTTGTAGATATTATCTTCCCCTATCCATAACTTCAATAGGAGAGACATAACCATTAACGTATTTGCTGTCTGAATTTTAATTAGCCTGTTATCAATTAAGACACCTACCCATTATATGGCCATGGTGCGGAATGTATTTATGTGAATCAATTGCCAATGGACGTGTACGTATCAGGAATCAATAAACTATTTTTTATCAGTTCATACATATTTTGAGAACATGTTTGTTGAAGAGAGACGGAGATAACCACTGAATATTCAAACTCATATGTCGAAAACGAACTAATATGTAATCGCAAAATATGAAAAACGACGAAACGGCAACCAACAGTCTACATAAAACGGGGTTACATTTCGTACTTCGGAAGGGTTAACATATCCTGCTCCACAGTGCCTACACAAGGTAAGGAACGTGATAGTGGTTACCCTATGCAAGTCTTGTGATAGTGTCCTTTAATATGCAAGTATTGTGATAGTGTCTACAGCAGGTAAGACTCGTGGTAGTTAAGGCCGTCTTATATCCGAATGTAATCAAAACAGTCGTCTGAATTGTAAATTTACCGATTGATATATATTCTCCATCGTCACATTTTTAGGAGATACTTACCTAGTCAACGATACCGGTCTCGCGCATTTTGTTGTTCGTGCACTTTCCGTAGTTGTTTTTCACTTGGTTTATATATTCTAAATAGATTTGCGAAATATGAATATCGGAAAAATACTGTTGCCTTTTATATAGCAAGGTTAATTATGATTAAATGATTATTATAATTATACAAGTACAGATGACATGCTACCTAATGATGATTATTATTATTATTACAGGTACAGATGACATGCTTCCTCCACATTACCTTTGGACAACACCCTCCGAAGTATTTGGTCTCCTGGGAGAATCTCATAGAATGAAATGTATATATGGAGGAAAGTAAGTACCACTATTTGTCGCAAATAATCTTTCTTCTCTTTTATTTTTAATCTGCTATTTTGGGTAACAATTTATTACGGTGTTTGTTAAAAGTTCAGGCTTTTATTGTCTGCATAGAAACAGCCAGCAGGGTTGACACCAAACATTGCATAGATATTCCTGAAAAGGTATTGTTAGTTTAACTAATATGGCTACTAGAGAAGATAAAGTTATACATTGGACCCAACAGAAAAAAATACGTACGAGCATAAATACAATATCTATATGTTCATACCAATACCAAGACTTTGGGTTCATTAAAGAACGCGTAGAAAAAGCGAATACAGAAAAATCATTAGTTAGGACTATCATATAATTTGCCATCTGATTTTATCTTAACCTCGACAAAGGGCGATGCATGAAACAGAAACATAGAAATATACAGAATGCAAAACTTTTTTTTTGTAAAATGCATACAAAGAAAGCATATTGTACTTTTGAAATATATATAACTTTTAATCATTATAGGAATTGAATTAAGTTTTCCAGCATTTATTTTGTATCAAGCATGATATAATAATTTTTAACTTTTATTGTCCACATGATACCTGCATCTATCTGGTGCCTCTTTTATCTCTAGGTTTAGAATACTAATATGATGAAATAATCCAAAATAATTTATTTCAGTCCTTCTCCAGAAATAATTTGGGAGAGTAAAACTGGAAGAATTCCAGATAACCGTCGTACATTATCCCAGAGAGGTCAGGAACTGCTTATATCAGAAGTTACAGAGAAAGACCGTGGACAGTATATATATGCTACACTACCAGTACATCTAGTCAACGAATGCAAAGAAATATCAATTTTATTATCAAATGTAAGTTGATTGGGAATGCAGAAAACAGAGATACTTACAAAAATAACGATAATAGAAAGGATTACATGAATTACCCATAAAATTGGTCAGTACAACAAACAACATCAACCACTTACACCCGACTCTCCAGAAACAATAAACACAAAGCCAAAATACAATCATGCTTCTCTTTTGTAATTCATCTATCTTTTAGATACCTGTGAATTTCGTCATCTCAAATGTAGTGTTGACAGAAATAAAACCGTCTCTTTTGCTACAGGGACTGTATTCGGTGATTAAAAGGTTCATTTTCGTAGATCAAAATGAAAAAGGAAATGACTGATGTTTTGTTTAATTGATCTTTAATTTCGAGACAGAAACTTGGCGCCCACAGACCTCAATCTCAGACTAAAGTTTCAGAGAAACGAATAAGATCTGATATGTATACACTGTATGTAGAGAAGAAAAAAAATCTATTTCGGAACTTCCACCGTACATAGTAAGAAGCGATACTAAAATGTTTCTTTTGTTTATTCTTCTATATAGTTTTTGTCAATATAATGGAATTCTATGCGACTGAGAGGTTTAGTTAGCCATAAAACCAGACTTAATCCTCTATTTTCTACATAAGGAAATGCCTGTACCAACTCAGGAATATGACAGTTGTTTTCCATTTGTTTGATGTGTTTGAGCTTTTGATTTTGCCATTTGATAAGAGACTTTCCGTTTTGAATTTTCTTTGGAGTTTGAAATTTTTCTTATTTTACTTTTTGTTTAGGGCATTGCACAAGATCATGTCTTACTGTAATGTTTATGATGATGTATTAAATATTCTACGAAGTACACCTACGAATATTAGTTATCGCACGGCAAGATTTCTTATCAGCGGTTTAAGTTCTTTGTGATTGCTTTCATTAACTTCTTTTCATGTACAACGTTTTGTTTGATATCTTCTTTTATGAACGTTTACTATTCGTACTGATAGAGATTTAAAACATGGAGGGTTGAGATTTTACAAAACAGTTTTAACCCTGCCATATTTTCATTTGCCCGTCCCAAGTCAGGAACCTCGTCAGTTGTTATCGTATATCATATCTTAATATATTTATAAATTTGGAACGATTGAAAGCTAGAAAAATTATACATAGACACCTGTCTAGTTTTAAAAAGCGAGTGTGCTATCTAGATTCCCTTTTCGTTAAATATTTTGTCGTTAAGTTGCTGCTTCAATGTCTTTTACCCAATATATCCTTTTACTAATAGTTTTTCAAAATCATGTCTGTTTGATAGGCAAAATCCTTTATGATCAAACTGCATTTGGTGTCTATTTAATAAGCAAAACTGCATTTAGAGACAAAAAAATTCCATTTAGAGAAAGGAACAGGAACACAATTAGAGAAAGTGCAAAATTCAAAAGGGAAATACAATGGGTTACTTTCAAAGGAAATTAACAGGGCAGTTTTATTTCATCTATTGATAGCAAAGCCTTACTGGGCACCAGAAGGAGAACCCCAGGATATAGAGGCAAGTGTAGGATCTTCTGCTACATTCTTCTGCAAAGCTTTAGGAGACCCTAAACCGGATCTGGAATGGTATATTAATGGTATCAGACTTGAAGGTATGAAAATAAATATACAGGAAAAAATGCACAAAAAAATTGCTAAATCTTTATCATTGATGGAACTTAAGCAGAGAAGCAGATGAATTAAAGCAAATATTCAATCTTCAATATAGCGTTAAAACATAGATTTGTATACATATAATTCTCTCGTTGGTAAAAAGTTAACTATTCAATTTGCTCTGTTTTTTTTTTATTAAGTTGGAGAAAAAACAAAATCTAAATAACTACGAAGTAAGACAATTTTTGTTACATATAAATGAAGTGTTACGCTAAGTATCATATTATAAAACTAAATTGTCTTTTTATAGATTCCAAGCACCATTCTGTTAGATCTGTTAGATTTATGAAACCAGATGACCATAATATAACAATAATAAACTTGGAGAAAAGTGATGTCATGGTTTTACAATGTAATGCCTCTAATATCTATGGATATGTTTTTGCAGACTTTTATCTCAATGTGCTAAGTGAGTAATATTAAAGGACTAAACATTACCTTTTGGAAGCTCAAATATCAAACATTTTCTAACATCAATAATGTTCACAATGTGTTTCTGTGATTTTCAAAGCTAAAAGCTATTGAAGCGCTGTATCTATTGGGGGCATACAACCACGATCAACCAGTTTATATAAATAAAAATGAGATGTACAATAAATGAAAATGAAACAGCAGTCCAACGACAAAAATAATCAAGACATCTGGAGGATAATATACTGTCTTCAACAATACACAGAAGTCTATACAATATGTGAAGCAATATATCTTCCCGAGTCTATAAAAGTTGCAAATAAATCTAACGGAAACAACCAAAGCTCTTCCATCAACAACCGATTCACTAGCCGGGTTTTAATCATTAGAATCGTTAACTTAAAGGTATAAAAATTATGTTTCACTTGTGAAAACGTCGTTTTAACCATTATTAAATAACATATTTAGAGGAGAAGCCTCAATTTATCAAGAGGCCAGTAAAAGAATTGAAGGTAGCAGAAACCACTAATGTGTACCTGACATGCCAAACGAGTGGTAAACCAGATCCAATTGTCACCTGGTACAAAGGGACACAGCAAATTACTGGTGGAAGGTACCAGACTCAAACAAATGGAGATTTATTCATATCGGTAAATAGTCTGTACGTCTATAAGTAAGGTAGTGATACAAACTTTGGTTTCACAAGGATGGTCCAGAATAAATTAAAGATTTCTTGAACAGATCGATTTTTTGTTTAGGAAATATAAGGTTTCCCTGAACAGTATTTCTCAATGGGTATAGATTTATGTCATGATGAACATAATGAAACTTGTTAGTACGATATGATGGGGCATCATCTTTGATTCTTAAATGTCACCAACTTGTGTTATATTATTCTTTGTTCAACTTTCATCCATTGTAATTGTTTGAAAAAGGACTCAAAAGGAGCAAAAGGGTCTGAATCTATTATTATTCCAGCAGCTGTCGTTTGCAATTTTAGAATTCTTGTTAAACCTCACTACTACAACCACTACACACTATATAACAATAATCAATTATATCATATCACCAAAATAAAACAATTCTCTCTCGACAAGATTTATAAATTTCTTAACTTTAAATAGTAGATGTAGCTTAGATAAAATTTTTGAACAAATCAAATCATTTTGGGTTGTCCATCTACTACATCAAAGGCTTTCTCAAATTTCAATAGGACTGCTAGGTTGTTATCATTCATTTCCTGTACCAGTTTATCTAGGATATTGATAAGGACAGTTTGACAAGAGTGTTCTTGTCTGAACCCATACTTTGCTCATTGTTGAAGGTAGTACAATGACCTATAATTGCTTATTAAAAACCTCATTTTAACTCTGGTAGATAGTTGTGTTACTGGCGATCATACCACATCTTCTTGTTTTTATATGTAATGGTCATATTTGTTTTCCGTTTTTTAATCCTATATTTTTTAAAAATAAATCAAATGTCCCGAAATAGTTATGTTAATTAATATCTACCATATCTAAATACAAGGGTTACTCTTGCATTCTTTGGTTTGCACTTGTATCTATTATTCTGATTTAAATATAAGTTCGAGATTAAGTAAGGAAAGGTGCACCTAATTAATTTTTTAGTCCCTATGTTATCAGAGCCTGTGGATTTATTGATATCAAGTTTAATAATTTTATTATTTATAGTGACTGGTGGTTTTGATAATTTTAAGAAAATTAGAAAATTTCTTTTGTCCAAATAGACTTTATCTTGCATGATCATGAGTACTGATGACAGATCTACTCGTTTTCGGGTTTTTAACACAAATAATATGATATGTACAAATTGATATTACCTATTAAAGGGGCATTAGCTACGAGATATAAAAAAATAAGATATGATTTGTTTTGGTTCAATCATTAATGAAAGTGAAGTAGTGAAATTATAATTCGCTTTTAGAATCCAGTTTTGTTCAATTTTGTCAAAATAAGCTAAGAAACATCTCTGAAGAATCATTCACTTGCAAATGAATAATTAGACCTCATTGAATCCGTATTCATGTAACCTTCAATTTAACACCTTAGCTAGAGATGGGTTACGCATGAATTAGGCGTGTTCAGTTATTAAAAGGAAAAGAATGTCAACATTGAAAGTGAAACAAGGGTAAACCATTTGATTGACTGATTTGATCCACAAAAACTCATTGTTATACAGGTAAAAACGATGGTTTATATATATTTTAACCTATAGTATGAAATCAAACAGACTTAGAAAAATCCAATTGCACGAGTTTGCTATCTATTTATATCTATATATATGTTAATATGACCGTCGGTAGTCTTCTGAGGTCATCTTGATGGTTAATTACATGACGTCTAGACTAAAATACACATGATTTGGAAACATGTTTTAGTATGTTATAAATCAAATATGAGAATTTGAGTCAAATCGGTGAACATGAATTTGACAGCTTATGCCCCTTGAAATGTTTGTAATGTAGAATAGAATATTATCTTATCAGATGCTGGTAACAACACTTGTATTGCCATCAATGGGTTGTAATGTATTTGGTAAAGTCTTCTAAATGTTTTGATCGGAACACCCCTGATGAGTCTGATGTGAACATGTAGACGAAATGCGTATCTGGCATAAACATTAAAAGCCTAGTATCTTAGACGAGTTTTTACGACAACTGGGTCGAAGTTACTGCTGTTGGACGTTTCATCCACGAGTGAAACGCCAGCCCAGTAGTCAACACTTTGTGTTGACATGAAATATCATTTAAATGTTCATTTTGTAAATTTACTTCTTATAAGATTTTTAGATTATTCAAAACACTTATTATTTATCTACACAGGGAATATATTGCCTTAAATAGTCGTATTTGAAAAAAATCTGAATTTCGGGTTTTATTGCTCTTCAATCGTTTTTTATTTGGCCTTCCAAATGCTTTGGTTCGAGCGGCACTGATGAGTTGTGAGAAGAAGAAACGCGCGTCTGGCGTACCAAATTTTAAGCCTGGTATTTTTTTATGCGTTTTAAGAACCAATGGGTCATGCCACTGCATAAGATTGTTTATTTCCGAGAGTATCATCAGCCCAGTATTCACAAATTTTTATTTGACACGGAAACCTGTAAATTTATCGTTTATAAAAGGCTGAATCGTACGAAAAACTAAGCTTTTTATATCCTCAGGCATAGACTGCCTTAGCTGTATCACATTTCAGTATTTTCGGTTTTAAATGCTCTTCAAATTTGTATTTGATCTGGCCTTACAGCTGTTTTTACTTTAGTAGCGCCATTGATGAGTCTCATGAAGACGAAATGAGCGATTGGCGTTCCAAATTATAAGTCGGGTATTTTTCATGAGTTTTACAGAATGTTGTTTTATCTTATACCGGTAACTTCACCCGTATTAATTATAAATGGTTTTTAATGTTTAACAGAATATTGTACTTTCTGATGCTGGTAACTTCACTTGTGTTGCTGAAAATGAAGAAGGATCTGCTACAGATTGGGGAGTACTTATTGTTAGAAGTAAGCCATACAATTCATCCCAATTGGAAATTTATGCTAATGAAATCGAAAGACAATAATATAAAAATAAAGGAGATGTAGTATGATTGCCAATGAGACAGCTATCCACCCAAGTTCAAATGAAGTGGATGTCAGCAATTATTGGCAACCGTACGTCCTTCAACAATGAGAAAATCCATACCGTATAGTCGACTATAAAAGGCCCTGACATGAAAAATATGAAACAATTCAATTGAGAAAACTAACGGCCTAATTTATAACAAAACAATTTAAGAAAAACAAATATGACAGACGTGAACCAACGACAACCACTGAACTACAGGCACCTGACTTGGGACAGACATTTAAAGAATGTTGCGGCGTTAAACATGTTTGTGAGCGCTAAATCCTCCCCTTACCTGGGACAGTGGTGTAACAGCACAACATAAGAAAAAATTATAAAAATCAGTTTAAAAAGGATTAGCTTATCAGATCGATACAAAACAGAAAAACTTCAAATAAGATCTTTCTTGACATGTAGGCACGCGAAGCTGACTGTTACTACAGATTTACAGATATAGATCTTAATATGAAATACATTGTTTTTCGTGTTCGTGACTTATATAGCGTATATTCTTGGTAAATACTACGAGTTTATACGAATATTTACTTTTGTTTTACTAATAGTAAAAAATGAAAAAAATTAACAATAATAAAACATAAAATAGAGGGCATTAGAGTAACAATTGCTCTTTAAGAGTATCTATACCAATAGTAGATTTATACTGACTAAGTGCATAAGAAAGTATTAACAACAATACCGAACTGGGGAAGACCCAAAGACCTGAAAAAATCAAACGCCAGACTATATCAACAAACTGATCGAATAGAAAGCAAGGATCAAATTCAGACTTGGTACATACATTTTCTAAAGAAAATCGTGGGTTAAACCTGTTTTTTTAAGCTAGCCACCTCCCCCCCCTCCCACACACACACACACACTTGTAGGCAGTTATTTCTGGTTCCGTTATATTACGTGATAAACCCAAACAGCCATAATTGCTAAACGTTACAATAATAGGGATCCAACCGCCAAAACTTTGTAAACATACATCACAGATATAGAAACACGACGGATTTTAAATTAAAACAAACATACACATAATATTACATACAGTATTATAAAACAATGAACACATGCAATGAAAGGTAAATGCTAATGTTGTATTGTGAAAATAATTGTGAATTTTGGGATCTCATCCCATATAATTGTATGAATTTCAAGATCATATACACGTAACAAAAATACGTCACTGTTTGTGGTGTCCGTTGTTATTCTGTGGTTTACAAGTTGTAATGACTATTTATATTATTTATTAATGCATTTCTCCGTGCTGAGTGCTCTTGCGTTTGTTTGTACTGTATTCATGTCACGTAGTGTTGTCATTTTAGCGGTATATATTATTTAGCATTGCCATATAAGCGGGAGTTTTGGCTAGCCATAAAACCAGGTTCAACCCACCATTTTTTCTTAAAATGTCCTGTGCCAAGTCAGGAATATGGCAGTTGTTATCAAATAGTCCGTTTCTATGTATGTTGGCGTTTGTTTTTGTTGCAGTTTAGTGTTTCTGTTGTTCCGTTGTTTTCCTCTTATAGATGAAGTGCTCCCCTCGATTTAAGTTTGTAACCCGGATTTGTTTTCTCTTAATCGATTTATGACTTTTGAATAGCGATATACTACTGTTGCCTTCATTTACCAAGCTTATATTTACAAAGCTTATATTTGAAAAGATGTACGGAACAACAAACTTTTTAAAAACAAATACAAATACAATACAGTTAAATGGCAACACATCAACTTTAATATCGATTTTAATGTTTAAAAGGTGCTAAAAATTAATCTTATACGCAAAATGGTTTTTTCAGGAATACATTATATTTGTTCCTTTGCAAAAACAAATTGCAATCATATACGTATCGGGTGATATCAAACTATACACTGTAACATGACTATAATAGTTTTTGAAAAGTCAATCAGATGATCATGGGACAGTGAAATAATATGAGAATAAAGATAATTTTCAGATCATGGGCTAAAAGACAGGAAGATTCTTGAAAAAAAACTTTGTGTTTTGCTGTTCCTGTCCCCTCATACCTCTAGGCAGGATAATGAACATTTTTTTTCTCTAGGTTTGTTGCTTTGCCGGTTCTGTCCCATCATAACTCCAGACATGATTGTTAACCTTTTCTGTAGCGTACAAGGACTAGAAACTTTGTGTTGTCGGTTCTGTCTAATCATACCTATATGTAGGATAGTGAACACTTCTGTGACGCTCATAAAGACAACGGACCTTGTTTTGCTGATTATGTCCCCTCATACATCTAGGCAGGATATTGAACTTTTTCTTTAGCTCAGAAAAGCTGGCTCTGTCCCCTTATACCTCTAGGGAGGATATTGAACTTTTTCTTTAGCTCAGAAAAGCTGGCTCTGTTCCCTTATACCTTTTTTCTAGTTGACTTTTATTGGCGGAGCAGGAACAGCTGACTCTTCCAAAGTTTAGGTTTTCTTTGATATTTTATTCGCCCCTTTAGGATCTTTTTCTCTTTTTATCTGACAATTTTCTAAAGGAAAGACAACAATTGAACAGAAGCCAGGTGATTTAGAAAACATGGCCGGTACAGAAGCCAAATTCACATGTTCAGGAACTACGGATTTTGAAGAAGTTGCGAACTTACGTGTCTATTGGTTGAAGGATGGAAAAGAGATTACAGGAAATGACCAGAGAATGACCACCAATGTACAAGACAATTCTTTAACCGTTAGTGGAACGATAAGTAGAGATTCAGGACTGTATAGCTGTGTTATAACTAATGGATTGGATAAGGAAACAACATCTGCAATTCTAACTGTCAAAGGTATAACTGTTTGGTACGATTAATATTTTAAAATGTGACACTGCAACTTGTTTAAAAACGACGAGGCGATCACACATCACTTTTTCTTTCTATTCCTGTTTCTTTGATCACAATAGTCCCCAGTTAACAACCATCAACGAAAAAATATTTGGTGCAGAACACTAAAAATCAGCACTGAAAATATCATTTTTAGAAGAAAACAATTGTTATTGCCACAGTTGAGGAGCTATGTGAAAGATATCATGATTCATTAAAATCATGTTTATCCCAAACGAGATACATATTTCTATTGTTTTGTAACTTAAAACCATGAATAACTCAAAACCCTTTTTAATGAATTTCCCACAAACAACAAAAGTGGAAGGAAGAGTAAAAAATGCATTCAGAGTATAAAATTTTATTTATTACAGAGCCAGATTCAAGTTTGAGAGTAGAAAATTTTGTGGTTGATAATGTTGCAATGGAAGAAAACTCTGTCAAGTTCTACTGGAACTGGGATATGGACCTCAATAATAATCTCCAGTCAGGTCTTCATGGAAAATTCAGAGGATTTAAGGTAAGGTTTAATAGAAAATATATCCAAAGACAACCTTATTGTAGGCATCATCTAAAAAGATTGAAAATGTATCACGATTTTAAGTAACTGTATGTAAAAAGACTGGGATAGTTGTTATAAATTTGTGTTTTATCCTTTACATAAATGTCATGGCGTTGTCAGTTTCTCTACGACTTATGATTTTTTAATGTCCGTTTGGTATCTTCCGCCTCTTTTTCACACATATTATTGATCGTAACGGTAGCTTTTATTATTCTCTGTTCATGCTTAAGAGTATAGGTTTGGATTGTAAAATATTTTGTTTTATGTAAACCTTTTTCATTTATTGAATCTATGCAACTATTTTTACTGAACTTTGTTATTAGAATTTCTTTGAATTTTACTGATACGTTTTGACTATTGCAAAAGCTTAATAACCTAAGCGAAGGCAGTTGAACATTTACATGTATAAGTCATAAAATCGTTTCGAATCCATCTGGTAATCAAATTTAGGAACATTTAAATGAGACAAAATTTTTCAAAAAGTAATCACTATTTTAGCTGCAATATTGGATCAAAGACATGAAGAGAGTAACCTTTAGAGAAGACGAGATTCTTCAAAAAGATCTGAAGTCTCGATATGGAGCAATACAAAAACGGTCCGTCACGGAACTAATGTACACAGTGAAAGATTTGCTACAGTACACTTATATGGAGGCACAAATTTGTGTGATGAATACACATTATGTTAGCGGACCAAGTGCTATTGTGTCATTTGTTACTGCAAGGGGAGGTAACTTGTATAGTCAGCATTATGTACTATTGTCTCTTTTGACACTGAAGAGAGGTAATTAAGAACGTAAGTTGTCTCTTGTAATTGTGTTCTTGTCACTACTATGGGGGGTACCTGAAGGTGTGGTTGCACTTTTTTATATTTATGAAAAAGACTTTATACTGGATCTTCTTATGAAGAATGAAAAGAATGAAAGGAAGTAAGCTTTATTCTTTAACTTTATGTTCAAATATATAGATGATGTTCTCTGACTAAATAATTTTAAGTTTTGTTATTACAGTGTATGGTGAACGCATCTATCTCTATTCTATTAAGCAGTGCATGCATATGCAGTATATATCTATCAGTTGATACGATATTCCAGGGTTTGAATTTCCTATCATTATTTCCTTGATAGAATGTGTCCGCTTACAAGGAAGCTATTTAACCAAGGGTTTCAAGTGATGAAGTTCATCCTTTCGAAAATTCTACAGACACGGGTTGTTGGAAAATTATGAAATATCTGTTTCACAGATGACTACGGATATACTCCAATTGTCTTAACCATAATCTTGTCATCTTTTCCGCGGATGTGACATTACCAAATTAGACTTATCATAGAGTTTGTAGTGACATGTGCAACACGTCCGGGTGTCATATGTGGAGCAGGATCTGTTTACCCTTCCGGAGCACACTTGAAAACCTATGCTTTTCGATGGTATTGCTCAGTCTTTAGTTTTCTATGTTGTGTTTTATATTCTGTTGTTTGTTTAATGGTCGTATTTCATTTTTATTTTGACATTACGTGTCAGTTTGTATCGAATCATGAGTTTGAATATCCCTTTGGTATCTTTTTTCTCTCTATTTAAATTGCTATGCATGTAGTCATACATTTAAAGTATTTAACAAATGACAGGACAAAACATATCAAATTTCGTAAGAAATGAAAGAACTAAAAAACATAAGAATTTCTGTTTTTGCAATATATTCAATTTTTATAAATGATATTTTCTCTTTATGACAACATTAATAAAAAGACTAAAAAGAAATTGTTTCTTCTGGTCAATGATTTTAAACCTTTGATGAGTAAATCGTAACTTTCGAAAGGACAGAGAACATTTAAGTTATTATTTTTTATGTGTTTTTGCAGTCCCAGGACCTGTAGAAAACTTGCGTGCCTTAGTTGTTGGTAGTAACTTTGTAGAGCTGACTTGGAACAAACCAGAGCTATTGAAGTCACCAGATGACGATATAACCAACACATATTTACAGGGATATGATGTCGGCTTTCAGATAGGTAAATCATCTAGTTATGACATTTCGATTGTCAAATAGAACATATGTTTTTAAACATCTTAATATCTACACAATTTTTTTGTGGGGAGGGGAGGGATTCTCAAAACTCATCAATGATACCAGCCTTGTAATTTAGCACACAAGGTGCGCATTTATTCAACACAAGATTCATCAATGTGCTCGAATCAAAATAGTTGGAAGGCCAAAATAATTACACAGTTAAAGAGTATTGATAACCAATTAAGTTTATCCAATGGTTGTAGGTATTCATATCGGCACTGTACCTCCGTAATAGCAAACTTGTATTGTTACAAACAACTTAGGAAGAATCGTCCACATACTATGTAATTGATAAATTTAATAACGCCTACCATTGCTTTGATGGTATTTTTTTCTTTTTTTCTCTGTTGGGTCCTCCGTAAGGGGTGAGTATTTTGAAACTCGGTCACCATACCCTGTCTTTCGTTACGTTGTAAATCAATGAACTTAATTTATATATGACTGGTAAATTATTCAGACATTTATTTTGTAACCACATAGATACAAAGATTTGGTTTCAGAGTCTAAAGTATACGTAAAATTTCTTTTTACAAACAGAATATCACATTTTAATTTTAAGGTGATGTTTTTGATAGAGCCCTTAGATCTAGACATGATCAATGTAAACTCATTGATCCATTGAATAAACGTTTTCTTAATGGTTATCAATTTAATACCGAAATAAGACCTTAATTTTTAATAAATTAAAACAACTAAATATGTATTGCTTTATAGTTATGAAGGTATAGTCCTACATCCTGTCAATACTATGTACTTATATGTATGCATTGCACAACGTAATGCTATCTTTCAGTAACTGCGCGTACTGTACGATCAAAACTTCGGTTTTTTGTCTTTATGTTAGTTGTTTTTTGTGCTTTGTACCAATCTGGCGAATCAAGCCATTTAAGTTTGTTCTTATGTTTTGCTGTTACACAATTGTCACAGATTAGGCGGGGTTGAAAGCTCAAAACTAGTTGCTATCTGTCATATTTGTTTTTCGTTTATTTTTTGTCACATATGTGGCTGTTGGTTTTCTTGTTTCACATGTTGTCATGTCGGGGAATTTTATAGAGGAAACATATAAATTGTATAGTGTTGTTTTAATATTTTTGCTAGGCGGTATGGGTTCTTCACTTTGTTGAAGGTCGTACGGTGACCTATAGTTGCTTACATCCACGTCATTTCGACTCTAATGGATTATGACAAGCATGACAATCATATCGCATCTCCTTAATATTTTAAAGATAGGGAGTTGGCATCCTTAAGCTTGATATCTTATGAAAGTCTGACTGTGATATCAATGAAATATTTTTATACGTTTTATTCCATGACAATTAACCCTTGAAGCTATCTCTGTATTCAGCAATTCAAGTCAAGGACTGGATACTTCAAGGGAATTAAAAGTATTTCAGTCTCTGACTTTGTTTTAGGACTTCTAAGCACTCAAATCAAAAGAAGACTTTGAATGTAAAAATTATTTAAACAACAATAGCAAGTCATTTTTATGATTTTTTCCATGAAAATTCTCCTTTTATCGTTGATACTTGACAAAGAACATAGAAAAATATACCTTCAGGGTATATCATTTTGTAGTGAAGGGACACAGTATAAATTTTTAGTCTGGACAAATACTGTATAAGAATAAAGTATAATCATTGAAGTGTGTTTTGTGAAGAATTTTACCACACGTAAAACTGATAGATCATATCTGAATAAATGAATTGTTTAGGTAGAAAAAATGTAATGCCAGTATGTTAGTTCGAAAAGATGTTCAATTGATTTTTCCTTAATTTTAAATTATTTGAATATATAGCATATAATTTGGTTTATAATTGTTTCGACAGCTGCATTTTATTGCTTGGTAGAGATGTCTTCTCTTAATGATCTATAACGACTTTCGGGAGTTTGTTTTTGTTTCTGTGTCTCGTCAGGAATTTATAGCTTAGCGGTCAGACCATAGCCGTAAAAATAATTAATATTGAAATTATTTGGATAGATAACGATCAGTCTTCTTGTATTCATTCAGTTTGTTAGAAGTCTTGTCTAACCAAAAATATTCCCACCGCCGCCCCCAATCAGCCAGCCTTCACTCCGCAAGTGACGGGTACATCTGAGCTACGCAGCAATACGTCTGCACTGCCATTCATTGCAATTTTTATCACTGGTCAGTCTTTTAAATGACAATTTTTATCCCCCAAGTTCTATCAACTTACAACTCACATTTCATTACATTTGTTGTTATACTACAGTTGATAGGACAGGTCACGTCGAATTTCCTGTCAACCACTGTTTCGCAAGCATCCATAGTTCGCGCAAAACTAAACGCTTTACAACAGATCAGGATTCAGGGAATTCGACGGAGAAATATTTTCAAAATTAGCTAAAATATTTTCATTCAAAATATATTTCAAATGTACAAATATTCCAGAAAATATCCATTTCTGTGAAAACATTTATTTTCTGAAGTGAAAGGATTAGATCTTGGCAAAATACGGGAAATGGATCCACAGATAGTTGACCCTCGTCGTAACACTACAGTTCTAAATGGTCTAACTGCTAACCAAAAATACAGGATTTATATGTGGGGAAGAACTGAAAATGGCCGTGGTGAAGCTTCATTTATTGAATTAACAACAGCTGCAACTGCTAGCATGAGTAAGTTTAAATAAAGGCAACAGTAGTATACCGCTGTTCAAAAATCATAAATCGATTGAGAGAAAACAAATCCGGGTTACAAACTAAAACCGAGGGAAACACATCAACTATAAGAGGAAAACAACGGAACAACAGAAACGAACTATTTGATAACAACTCCCATATTCCTGACTTGGTACAAGACATTTTAAGAACAAATGGTGGGTTGAACCTGGTTTTATGGCTAACCAAACACTCAGCACAGAGAAAGGCACAAATAAATAATATAATAGTCGTTACAACATGTAAACCGCAGAATAACAACGAACATCTTCCATTAACGACAGCACAGGACATCACAATCAGTGACGTATTTTTGTAACGAATATATAATCTTGAAATTCATACAATTAGTTTCACAATACTAGTCTAAACAATTATCATGAATATGACGGTATTGAAAGGCTATTTTAAATAAATGCTGTGACGACGTCATATTTATTTGAACTAACACAATACTTTATCCATTGAAAATGGAAATTAACTCGACTATACTGACAAATAAGACATATGTGAAATGTACCGAAAATACCGAATTCAAACCACAAACGATAAGACATAACAAAATATCCAACCGAAACCACAACAGAAACATCATAAATAAATACATGAATGCTGGATGTATAAATGCCGAGACACGTCGTATAGCAATGCAAATTCACACTCGGGAAAAACAGTCAGATTCGGGAATAGGTCACTTTCGGTACTTAGAAGACAGACGACATAGATGTTAAACCACAATTTAAGACGTTGTAAAAATGTCATTAGGTAGTTTAGACACTGACACATATACATCAACCAATTCGTGATGGTGTCCATAAAAATTTACGGAGTCTCATTTTTAATCTTTCCTCCTCATAACTCTGTTGGAGCAGTTTCTGCGTAAGGAGCACACTCCTGTATATGAAGTCCGAATAGTGTAAACATGCACGAGCATAACGTATCAATTGAGATACTAGTATGTAAACACCATACGACGGAGCAGAGGGTATGTTGCTGCTGAGAAATTGGAAATTGATAATTGGGAAGTTGAAATCATCCCGTTTGTCATAGATTTTAGTGTGAAGTCGTACATCTGTGTCAATATTGAGGAAAAGATCAAGGTATGAAACAGTCCTTCTAGTATCAGTAGTGTTCTTAATTTCAAGTTCACTGGGATATATGAGATGCAAGTACTGACTAGAATATGGGTTATTCAGTGATAGGACATCATCAGTATATCTGAAAGTAAAATTAAAGAATTTTGCAAGGTGCTTTTTCTTTTTGCCTTTTAGAAGGTTCTGAATGAATTCTGCTTCATACGAGTAGAAAAACAAGTCGACCAGAAGGGGTGCACAATTTGAACCCATTGGAATACCGACTGTCTGTTGAAATATCAATCCTCTAAACTCAACAAATATATTGTCGATTAAAAAGTCCAGCATTTTGATAATATCATCTTCAGTGTATTTTCTGATAGAATCAGTGTGGTTCCTCATATGTTTTAATTTGATATTTGAACAGTCTGCTTGAGTGATTGTTGTTTGATCTTTAAACTTACTGTTTATTCAGAAACATATGTGGTATTTTAGTGCAAGACTTACAATAACACCTGTACCACATTAATTGTATTATTTTTTTGGCAGCAACTGATATCATTTATTTTCATACTGTTGTGTTTTGTCAAATATTACAAATGTATTAAAAGACATGCAATGGTTTCTGAATTACATAACATATGCTTAGAAAGAATATGCAATATGTAAATCTTCAATTGACAAAACTTCAAATACAAAATAAGCCTTCAAACTTCTTAAAAGATCTTCTTAAATGTTATATTGATAATTTTAGACCTTGAGTAGAAACTGAGATTCAACTCTGTCATGCAAAGTTGACCTTATATATTCATGCAAAGTTAATCTTAGATAATCATGCAAAGTTGACCTTAGATAGTTTGAGCTGTTTTTTTATGTTCCCGTGTCGACATAAACTTCATCAAGTATTGATTTATCCTTGCCATTCTAGTTTTGTTTTTTGAATGTCACTGATGAAGATGAAATATTAAAAGCGCTTCTACCACACTAAATTGAAGAAGTTTTTAATTTATTTTTTACAAAACAGTCATATTAAAAGTAATTATTTCACATAATTTGGATATGTATTTTGCACAACATGTTTGCTATAGTTGTACTGGTATCCAAATAATATTGTGGTTCCATACACAATACAAGATAGCTACAGCACGGAATGACAAGTAAACAGCTAGTAAATCAGACGGATTATATGAATTAAGTGCCTTCTATTGACACATGATTTTTCCTATCTTAAGGTGTGCCAAGATTTTCTATCATCAATTTAAATTCTACATTTTTCAATATTACCTGGACGACTATGGCAAACAGGAAATATGGAACAGTGGCTTTTGTTGATTACCGAAAAGAAGGTATGATTAATTTTATTTTACTAATGTTAGATATCAACGTTTTGATTTTTTTCAGATTAATACGATTGTTTTGATAAGTTTTATTATGTAGTAAGGTGTATCCCCTCCAGTAATGACAGTTAAATATAAATCCCTAAAAACCGAAATATTTATTAAAAATGTTTTCGATATAAAGAACAATTATTAAAGCAGTAATTTCGAAACTTTTTTGTAACTTTTTTCGCAGCAATCCCTCACAATAAATTTTAAGTTTGTTTCCTGAACAATAATATCAGGCTTTTATAAGAAGAATGGAGAATAAAGTATTAATATTTGGTTTTAGGACACAAATGCCTATCCTCGAGGGGTATCAGATAAGGTTCCAGGTTTCCTAGGAGTATGAAATGTCCAACCCTTTTGCTTTAATTGTTTACCTGTATTTGGTCCGTATACCAGACTTGTGTTGTTACTTATGATTTGCCCTATTTTTCCGTTGAAAGTATGTTAATTTGGTATGTTATATACATATAATTTGCCAAAAAATCATATAATGTACTTCTGTTATGTGATTGCTTACATTCAACATTTTTAAATGACCTTATTGGCAAGGAAAAGATATATAGTGGGTTAAAATTGTCTTCTAGAATATATGCTTATTCATAGATTAAATGTTTCTGTTGTTAAAATTCATAATCTTTAATACCTAAACACTACTCCCTTCGTTTGAACAAGAGCTCTGTGCTTGCATACATATCATTATAGATTTGAGATATATATGAGATTTAATGGAAATTATTAATTAGCAAGCGTTGCTCCAAAAGGTATTTACATAGAAAGTTTATATTACACGTGTGCTGTGTCGACATACTTTGATTTGTTTTTAATTTTTCATTTGATAAAGTAACATAATGTGGCAATATTTTAAATAAAATGTTTTGCATGATCTGATCATACTTTATTGTTATATTCATATATAGGTGTAATGTTAATTTTTTTATATATTCGATCACCTATTAGTCGTATTTTTCTTTAATATATACACTTTTGATAATAATATAGACATTGTGACTGTATCGTCAATAGTCCATAAATATTTGGATGGTTTAACTTCAGGTGTTGCTGATTGGCAACAGTCACCACAGGAAATTTCCAAGAATTGGATTGGTATAGCTAATCTCAAGTCAGGGACGTCTTACGAAGTACGTCTGTCTGTAACCAATGGTTGGAACACAGCCTCAAGTGACATAGAAATAATTAAAACTAAAGGAATACGTATGTATAATTGTATTTAAATTAAGAAAACTAATTAAATGGAAATAAGAGTATATTTAAGCTTCCTACCAACAATTATAATTCGCACCATCAATTTGAGTCCCTTATCATTAACGTCTTGTCATATTGAGATTTACGCATGCATTATCTTTATTCCAAAGTAGATTGTTAAATGTACTTCAATAAAATATGTCCAATAACTAATCAATCATATTTGAAACATCAATATTGAGTTGTTGTGGCGTCAATTTTGTTAACTCCAAGGTAAATCGCTTACCATAAGGATTTCTTTATTTTTTTAAAAATGACATTTTCTAGCATCATTTACCAGCTTGTTCTGTTTGAAGTATTTTGGTGACAATATTGTCCCGTTATTGTTTTTGGTATTAAGTATAGAAATTGTATCTATATTTATGTAAAATGACGCAATGATTTGTTTATAAATAAATGGAAGCCATATGATTATTCTTACTCAAATGGTTATTTCGTGTTAAGAACATTACGCAAATAACTACCACCAGAAAGCAAAGGATTAGGATGAAACAAATGTAGTCTCTAATTGTGATCAAATCCCATACCTAATAGTAAGCTATAAAAGGCTTCGGTATGACAATATGTGAAACAACTCTTAAAAGAAACAATTTATTTATGCTAAAAAAATGACAGACATCAATGGACGACAACAGTTGCATTACATTCCTGACTTGGAATAAGCAATAAAGAATATGACGGGGTCAAATATATTAGCGTCACTGATGAGTCTTTTATAGACGAAACATGAGTCTGGCGTACAAATTTGTAAGCTTGGTATCTATAATGAGTTTATATAAGTGAGCATTCCTTCCTACCTTAATCTGGGAGAGTGGTTTATCTGCACACAATAAGAACAAACTTTAATAATCTTCAACGTTTTCGGTCCTTATACATACTTGGCTTCCAAATATTCGGCTTTGAGCGTTCCTGATGAAGGTAAATTCAGAAAAGCGCTTCGGACGCATGAAATTTATAACATGTTGTTTTCATTTTTTTGTGGAAAAGTTTGACATATCAGATCCGAAAGAAAAACCAACAAAAAAAAACAAAAAAACAAAAAAAAACAGAATAAATAACATCTCACAAAAAGATTAAAAAACACAAAAAGTGTCGATATAAAAGTACTCACAGTTACTGAAAGCTATGAAGATCAAAGCCAATCTCAACTGATTAATAAATTATGCTTTGCCAACCTAAATATCAATCATTACACACCAAACAGTTTATTTAGTGTAACGAGGACATTAACAATCTTACAAAAGCATGACCGTGTGCAATGCCAAAATATTAGTATCGACAGGATGTAGGACCATAAGTATTCATAAGCGTCTAGCAATACATGTGTAGTTATATATTAATTTATTAAAACAAAATCAATATAAATACCGATTTAGACACTATTCAAAGATCTTACTACAACATTGAAATGAGAACCTTTAAGAATCGGTTTATTCAAAGAATCAACAATTTTAAATATATCATATCTTAATTTACGGGCTCTATATAAACAACATCCCTGCATTATGTTTAGGAAATTAAGCACAGATTTATAGCCATGGAATCTAGGAAGTAAGAAGAGGAGGCATGATGGTTGTTAAAAGCATATGAAAGAACAGTGGCCTAGTCCAAGTAAAATATATGACTAGAATTACTCCCCCACATAATTTACGAAAGTAAGATTAATCACTTTGAAATACTATTGATGCAGTTTTTATTATTTCCAAGATATTTTTTTTAACAGCAGCAGCATTTAGCTTGGGAGCAAACTTAAACTGGTTTATTGGATTAATAATATCAGTGTTGATTATCATGGCACTGGCTGCACTAATTTACCGGTTGTACAAAAGACGTCCTGAACCTACAAAACAAAGATATCACACAGGTGTGTATTTATAATGTATGTTTTCTCACCTGCCAGAGATAATTTATCAATACTTATTATATCAAAACAAATTAATATAGGCAGTAACAAAACAGAAACATAACAACTCACGAAGTTAAGACAACATTTTAAAGAAAATTGTAAAACAATTGTTTTTCTTGTTTTATAAACGACATTAAAAAGATCCTGAATTAAGTAAATTATGTATCAGAGAATTATAAAAAAGTAGTGGATTGAGAAACAATAATCAAAGAGCCTCACAGAGAATTTCTACAATATTAAAATACAGCATACTTCAGTTTTATTTTAAAGAGAAAAAATAAATCATATTTTACGCACGTCTTCACAAGGTATAAAGATTGTAATTCTAAACAGAAAAAAAAAGCAGCTTGCTTTCAATCTTATTACGTTGTAATCGTTCCAATTTAACCCAAATAAAAGAAGTGAGTAAATGAAGTAAAGAGATGATCGAGCTTCCTATTCAAGAGTCAAACTCATCTTACAAAATCATGTCAGGCACTATAAAGCAGACGCATGGTAAATGGTTTAAACATGATTTAAAAGCACAAGATAAAAACTGTTTGAGGAAGGTACCTTAATGGGTACAAAACAAATAACACATTAGTTTCTATGGTTTGTAGCTCCACTCCGAAGAAGATATGATTATGACGATGACAGAAGGTATGTTAGTCTCAGATTTATGCACTTTCACTACGACTATACATTTGTAATCGTTATACTGTATTAGCGGTGTTTAAACATATTACAAATATATTCGTGTTGTTCAGTCTTTAGTTTTCTATGTTGTGTTCTATGTACTGTTTTTTGCCTATTGATCCCCATTTTTTGCCATGGCGATGTCAGTTTATTTTCGACTTATGAGTTTGAATGTCCCTTTGGTATCTTTCGCCTTTCTTTTAAGTACGAAAATGAAGATTCATTGAGGACCAATAAAAAATTCCGTACGGTTTTGCCAAATAACGCTAATGTTATCTATTCCTGAATGGACTTGACTTTATTTGATGTAATAAAATTCAGTTTACAAAAATTACAGAATGCGAAGTCTTCGACATAAGATAAGAATAAATTTGAAAAAGGATGATTCAAAATTTCATTTGGCTCTTATATTAAACAGAAAAATAATAACAGATAAACACAGAGAACACTCAAATGATGCATGATTTAATTGAAAAACAAGCTATTTAATGGACCATCTTCCTGTTCATACTGAATCTAATCCTTTAACTGTGGGAAGATCAGTGTCTGATTTGAAAACAAATTTCCAATCTGAACAAGAAAATATTCTATTGGGAGATTTCGGAATTATTTTTCTGCTTACGATTTTATGATTCCTCTTGTGGTTTTTGGTGGGTTTCGTGTTGCTCAGGCGTTAGTTTTCTCTTAAGGATGTACTTAGGTCAGGTGTTGGAATTTTTGTCAGATGTTCTGACTCCTTGGTATTTTTCCTACGATATAGGGTAAAATATTTTGCACCATAACACCCATTTTTCTTTTCATATAAGACTTCAAGCCCATAAAAGGTCATTTACCAAAATTTAAGCAGATTATATTTCTTTTCTTTCAATTTGAGACCAAAATAATACCAATACAAATGTCCGAGTCTGCCTTTTCCCGCCATTTTTTTTAAATATCTCGAAAAGGAGCTCCATAAACTTTCAATATTTTTAGCTTATTTTGTTCCTTAACTAACGCTCTTCTAACTTATAGTACCAATTTTAATTTTAGATTTTGTTAATTTCACCTAAGTACATCCTTAAGTGTTTTGTTGGCTGTAGTTTGTCTCATCGTCTTTTTTTCATTTGGCTATGGTTATGTCGGTCTATACACTACTTATGAATTTTGTTTGATCCTGAGTACATTCCTCCTATCGTTCAACTCAAGAGATTTGTGTGAAAAATCCAAGAACCTAGTACAATCAATCTTGAAATACAAGATCATAATTTCCAGTCTGGTAGTAGTTTTACAATTCACACATGAAAAATAGTTAAAAACCTTTATTTATTAAGTAGTAGTCTTTCTAATAATCATGCAAAATGGTAAATAATTTGCAGACTCATTTTCACATAATTAAGTGGTGCCATTGTAACAACAAAAGGATTTACTTATTTCATTAAACCCTTTTATACCAACTGTTCTTGCTTTAGGTTTAAAAAATCCGCTCATATAGTATAGAGATTGTAAAAAAATCACAACTATTTTATTACAAATCATGTCATTCAAAATTATATTAAACTCAATAATCGGTTACATTTATTAGACATAAATATTAAAGATACATGCAATTGTTTTAACAGTCGACTGAATCAGAGAAATGATTTGGAGACTAATATATAAATCTGTTTAGAGTTTCTGAAAAATATAAAAAAGAAGAAATGTTCCCATGAAACTACCTCCCATTCCGTAATAATTCTGTATGAAAAGTACAATTGCAAATAAGAAAGTGCCGCAAAAGGAGTCTTAATTTTTTTATTCAGAAATCATAGTTTTCATATAGGTTCCGCAAATTATAAATTGAGCTATCATTTTACGAACAATTCATATGCCAGAAAGAACCTGTAGTTTAACAGTTTTGATGGATATTTTAAGCCATTTGAAACACAGGGGTATTACTATTATGTTCTTTACCAATATCATAGAAAATGTTCTAGTAAAAGAAGCGAGTAATTGATATAAGAAATTCAATCTGTCTTCAAGATATATGCAACAGTCAAATATTAAATGTCTTAGGTGTTTAAACTTATAATTGAGGCTAACTAAACAGGCATTCCGAAAACCAAAAAGAGAGCAAGCAGCAGATCTAAATGCAGTTGATAACCTTGGAGACCATCGTCTTGGTGTTGGAGAATATTTGACATCCCTAAAATTACCAAACACTTACATCATTGTTAGTGGAAATTAAAAAAAAGCTCTCTGATTTAAATTTGTTTTGAAATGCTTTATTTGTTTAAATTGTTTATCCCTTTATTGAGAATAACGGAGTTGCTTGATTAGATTCTAAATGTTTGTCCCATGCAGAAAATACTCATTTAAATACAAGTAGATATATGTGTAATATAAGTTCGAAATCAACCATACGTTAAAAATATGTGATTCCATGTTAACTTTCGTTTATAAGTTATGTTATAAATACTGCGACATTCGAAACAAGAAATGACTTAGTCTTCTTATTTTCAGAACTTCTTTTCCTTTTTATTCTACTAATAGCAACCACCTAAAATACTGCATTGCTGTTTGTTATCTTTAGGAAATATAATTCTTTTAAACATTCATTTATGGTTTATGAAATTTGTTTCATGTATAAAGATTTCAGGCATAAAAATGAGCGCCAAAACGGCAATTATTTAGTGCTATTCAAAAAGAAGAATTTATATTTTTGTTGCAGTAACATTGGTACTTGGCCCGAGAACACAGTTATTTCGTAGTGCATTTCTTTTAGACAATAAATTCAAATTAAAAAAATCGCACCTGCTCTATCTCAAAAAGATTTTTACAGTGTAGTGTACTACTATTGATACAAATAATATCAAAATTATAGAAACTTCTACCAGCTCTAACTCAAAATATTGACAATTCTGTGTTAAGGGGGGCTAAAATTCAGTTTGACAGCTTCCGACATTCTAATTTTTGACCTTTTTTAACTGGACCAAATCACTACTTAACATAAAGATTCAGCACCCAAATTTTTTTAACATGTAATTTCATCCCCTTACTTAATATTTCATGCATAAAATATCAAGAAATAAATTGGGATAGTGTATCAAAAAAAAATGCAAGTTATACACTGTTCACACTAGGGACTATATTCGTAGACAACGAAAACCAAAGGACGATAACTGTGTCCTTGGACCACTTGATTTTGCCACACCTTAAACCACTATGATTTGTCTTCGAAATATTTACTCATTTAATACTTTTGTCCGAAAAACAAACCTAAAGTGTTAGCCCTATGAAAAATATATTGCTTTGCAATTCATTTATTCAGCAAACATCAATTCATTTTATGTTCATGGACAATTGTTATGTATTTGTATGTGCTTTTTATGCAAATAACTGCTTTTCGACATTTGCGGAAACTAGGTCTGTACCTAGGATTACACTTAGACTTACGATTCCAGTTGACGAAAAACAAGGGGATCATCTCAAAAAATAAAAAAATCAATAGAGATATATAGTAAAACCAAATGATTTTCTTTTGTTTATAAAAAAATCTTTTCGACGACACACTAATGCAGCGCAAATGGTCACGACAACTTTGAATCATTGTATTGGATGTCACCTAAAAATCTCCATAACTTTGTACTTTTTTAATTCTCCAATGGCGTGTTAAACGTTTATTCTATTGTGCGTAAAAGGTCTATCTTATTGTTTATACTTCACCTACATATTTTTGGGTTTTCGAACAACCTGTTGTCTTATATAGATATAAAAAGATGTGGTATGAGTGCCAATGAGACAACTCTCCATCCAAGTCACAATTTGTAAAAGTGAACCATTATAGTTGTTCGGATATATTTTGTCACCCACCAAAAACAAGCCATACGCTTTTCCCAAAATACAGAGTACTTCTCCAAATGTTAAAATTGCAAATTGTGTCTTACCTTAACTAAGTATAGAACAATCAGGAAAAAACCTTTAAGAGGGTACTCTACAAACGGCGTTCTTGAAAATCATGGGGAAATGCGATAAGCAATTTACACAATATAATTATTAAACCCGCTTTAGCGCAGTGCTTTTGAAATATTAATGTCCTTCGTTTTCAAAATTACACCTTTGTACCCGCAACTGCTCCATAACCGAATTAGATAGTGTGATTTTTTTTATCAATTTTGTTCTCGTCCGATATACCATTGCATCTTTAATCTCTTTTAATCAACGGATTAATTTTGCGGACAAACTTTGTGTGGCCGTCATAAGTGCACTATACAGTACAATTTCAAGAAAATTGTACCGCTCTCGGATCATGAGTTATTGCTCATGCTTCGAGCAGTCCAGCCTCACCCATGTTTTTGGCAGAGTATTATCGACACCGTGAAAAGAAACACCGTCCATACTCAAATGACTCCTAAGATCTCTATAAAAACAAACAACTCAGAACCCGGTAGTAATTTTTTACCTGCGTTGCTGAAGGCGAAAGCAGGTCTAGTAACTCCTCGACTCTGTCCGTCCGTCCATCAACCCGAAAGACCTTGGGTAGAAAACTTTCCTCAAAGTATTCTTTCTTGGTTTCTATTGATGGAAATGATTTTATATTTGGTATGTAGCTTAACAATTATGAGCTGCAGCGTGTAAGCAATTTTTACATCTGCCGTGCAGCTACTTCCGGCTTGCTGATAGTTTGAAATATGACAAGACTCATTGCACAAGGAAAATTTTCGTCATTTTTTTCTTGTCTTGCATTAAAAGGAATGATTTCATATTTGGTCTGCACTTCCTGTTTTCCAATAGATTTGAAATTTTACAACACTCATTGTAAAATGAATATTCTCGTTAATTTTTGCATTGCCTTCAATGAACGGGAATGATCAGTTATGCTTCAGTAGACACCCAACCTCAATCAATTACATTCAGCGACGCAGGGACAGACCCGGTATTGGTCTTGTTTAATTTGAAAAGATAGATAGTAAAATTCCAACTATTTTAGTTCACCTATTTTACATTTCAACAGAGTCTGACGAATAGTTTAAATTATATATTTGACACAAAGATGTTCATTGATAGTGGTGTTAGTGTTTTTTTTCGTATATTTTTGATTTTTTTAAATCCAAAAACGTGGACAAAAGTATTTGCCCAATTCAGAACAAAAATAAAAGATATTTTCTTTATGGCCTTATACTTGCCTTCGGTATATATTTATTATCATGATAAAAATATACCGAAGGCAAGTATAAGGCCATAAAGAATAAATAGTTCTTAAGCACCCACCCGCTGTTTCCCTTCATTTTTAATTTTTTTTTATGGAAAATGTATGTCAATACGCTCCTTAGTTGATCGCCCTTTCTTAACACTACGTCTAGCTGAAATTAATTTTGAAATATCTTAACCTTGCTAACGTCAATTGCGATTTTGTTTTCATGTAAAATTCATTAAATGGTGTTTGTCCGTTCTAGCATACTCCGTACATTTACAGCATTTTCAACTGGGATAACACCATGTACAATAATTAAAGTGTACACATTATTACATATATTTGTTAAAACCCCCGTTGTTCAGCTATAGAACATCTTTATAGGAGTTAGACTTTGTTTTGGAATGACGTTTTATAATTACACTATGAGACGACCCAAGATTTAAATGCTATCTGTATAAAGTGAAATTGTAATCCTAATCGTAGGTGTATGACAGTTTCCGCAAATGTCTTTTTACCAGTATTTGATTCACTGTACGTCTAGTCATGCTATTAGCTATCAATTTGTAAAATAGAATTTCTTTGATCAAACCTTGCATGTTTAAAATTTATTTTTAGATTGCACGTGTATATTTCATATTTGAATACATGTAGGTTATTGCTTTGGCTACGAAGGGTTTAAGATGATCCGGATGGTTAAGTGTATTAAAAAATGTTTCCAGAATTACCAAACCACGAACATTAATAGTAAATTCACTAAAATCCTATGTATATATGATAGATGCACATATATCAAACATTCGAAAGAGGTAACCAACTGCATGTAAAGATCTACTACGCCTGTTGAAGTTGTTTTTTCTGTTCAAATAGTATTACTCATCAAGGCCTCAAAAGCTACTACGTTCTCTTGTAAGTAAATGAATACAAGCAGGTCATATTATATTGCAGGTTACTGATACATTTCAATTATCATTGAAGCAATCTTCCCGTCGAGCAAAGACTTATCTCAAATTGTAAATTATATGAACTTTTATAAAAAGACCAAGTACAAATGCTAAAAATGAATTGAAAAATATCAAAACAGATACATGTTGTAATCAGAGAAAAAATTAACCCAGTGATCTTGAAGCAGAAGGCATTTTTCGAAAGAAAGAGACCATTCAGCTGCTATAGATATAAAAATACACAATTTGTTTTCGTGTATTGGTTTGTATTTTTAAATTGAAACCTCTTCTCGTAATGACAACTTAATATTCATCTAATAATCTTTGAGTTAAGACTCATCATGTGTTGTTTTACAGTACTCAGGACATTGTCCATAAGAGTTCAGTCTTAATGAACAAAGGATACGACAATTATAATTACAGTGACAGAGATTACCATGGTGATGACAGAGGTTATCGGGACGATGACGAATACAGTAGAGGTTCCTATGACGACGAAAACAGGAAAGCCGATGATGTCTATGATCGACAAAGATATGATGACAGATATGATGCCAAGTATGATGATTGTGGTAAACGTGATGATGGTGATGATTATGTTCGTCGAAATGATGATTACGACAAGAGGCGAGATGATGATTATTACGACAGAGGGCATGATGACAATTACAATAAAGATTATAGGTATGAGGATGAGGGAAGGCGTTACAGCACTGACCGCAGTGATAACGATCATTATGGAAATGGTAATGGAGCCTTTCAACCAAACTCAAGGCGTCCCTATAGGACTCCTAGCTACGATAACAGATCGTCAAGTAACGACGAAGATGTAGACTTACAGGAACCGAACAAGTTTGGTGATGACGGTTACCCTGTGGACACAAAAATATCTGAAACTCTTGGAGCATCGAGTTTAGTATAGATTTTAGAAAAAAAAACATAAATATGTAAACAGAATGGAAACACTATATTCAGATTTCCGAAATCTGTTATGGTCCATAAAATTGATAGTTACAAGTAATCCATTTGTTCACTTTTCATTAGATTTTTCCAAAATATACATCAGATTTTACATATAAGTTATAAATGATTTGTTATATATATGTTTGTTTTATAATTTATTATATTATATTTCTTTTGTTTCACTTTTGATCTTCATTATATGTTTACTAATAGTGCATGAGTCTTTTTAGGTTCCAGATAATATTTTTGAAAGTTATATCCTCTGTTTGATGAATGATAAGTTGACAATACATGAAAGAAATTCTTTCATTATGACATGAATGGTGTATATGTTTTGCGCACAAACTAGAAACAGCAAGTAGAATTTCAATTAATTTTTAAAGGTAATAGACTATTTTCATTATACCAACTTTTGAAACGGGAGTTTATATTTTTTAGACAAGTTACCTACTCTTTGGAATGACATCATGATACTCTGTCAAGTAAGATCAACATAAAGAAGTAAAATCAAGCTTTCAATCGGTACAAATTTGGGGGAAAATTAAATGTTTTATGTTTTCTATACAAGACAAAATAATTCAAAAACAGTAAACTTTCCCTCCAAATTGCACCGATTATGTGTTTGAATTGACTACTTTTGGTTTCTGTTACTTGACCGACTAACAGGCTGTCCTACCACAGATTTGGTTACCTGCCGAAAAATTATATAATCCGGAGTCAAAAGTCGGTAATAGGAAAATTTTCTATTCTATTGATATTGTAACATTGTCGTAAAAATAAATGAGATTTTTTTATTTTAACCAGTCTGAAAATAAATTCCTTTTTACTCTTTTTTTTTAAATAATTCTTCGTTTCACAGCTCTTATTTTAGTTTATATCATATTTATATATTAAGTAATCAACTATAAATACCGCAATTATTTTATCAATTTCATAACGCTCATGACCTGTTGGTCATACACTTTATTCAATACTGATGCAAATTGTCCCGGAAACACGAAATCCAGTTTCTTGATTGGTTGATTTTTTAGTCAGAGTACGATAGTTGTTTTTTATTTTGTTTTGGGATTATTTTCATTGTATTTGCTGATGTACATTCTTAATAAGACGCATGTTTTTATTTTCATTATTGTTGTTAATTAACCAAAAAAATAAATAAATAAAAAATAGATAGATATTATTAACCCAACTTACTCTTCATCGGTAGTGATACAACCCTATTAGAAGGGACACTTTAAATAATGTTACGATAATAATGTTTTCAAAACGAATTTTAAACTAATAAAGATATACAAATGTGTTGATTTTTACAAAATTATGTATACTCATATATATAAACATGGCACTATTTTTATAATAGTAACAAGATAGGGAACTTTTCAGTAGCCGTTCATTAATAGGGCTTGGGAAATCGCACATATTTTCTATATACTTATCAATTGATAATAAAGACTCTGAACACTTGCACTTATTCAAGTGCTAACCAACATATTTACATGTATTAAGCGTTACTGTTCAATAATTAAGCATGACTTTTTAACTATCGGTTCTTTTTTTAATGTTTTTATTCCTTTGCCTTTGTTGAATATTAATTAACTCTCCTGACCTTATCTTTATGCAAATGTATTGGATTTGAAAAAAAAAATTTGAAATTAATTTGTAGATTATGAAATAAACATCATGTATGTGATTTTTCCATTTTTGAAAACATTTTCTATAGATATTTTATGATAAAATATGTATCATCTAAACCACATAATTTTAAACGATTATGAAAGACTATTTCATAAAAAGTACTAAATTTATTAATGAAAACTACAAATAATTGTTTTACATTAATACTCAGTCTTATATCTTTTATACATGTACTGGTTATACTGATATTTCTTTTGTATATTTTTAATGTTTTAATTGTTTCATTAATTGCTTTTATAACCGTAAGAAACGAATTTATTTGGTATTTTTTTTCATTTTTGATTATTTTATCATCATTAAACTTTAAAGAATCCAACAAGTTGAAGAATATTTCTTCTAAAAACTGATACATTACTGATATACGAAATTTGTGTAAGAGAGTAAAAAACATTGATTGCTCTTTCAAAAACAAACTGATTCTAAACAAGTACACTGGTTCCATCAAACGCAAGTCGATATTTACTGTAAAAACAAGTTTTCACGTCGTTACATATTTGCGTTATTCATAAGATTTTACAACAATTACATTCTATGCTATCGAAACGTCTTGTTTTAAAGTTTATCATACAATGCTTCCAATAACAACATATATTACAATGAATTTATTCTTACAACTAGTGAATATTAATTTTTACTTGAAACAAGTAAAATAATAGTCGGAGATAACAAGGGGACATTCAAAATTCATAAGTCGACTGGAAACTGACAACGCCCTGGCAAATAAAGAAAGACGACGAAATAGTTCAACAAAGTAATACTAAAAAACTAAAGATTGAGCAACAGGAACCACCAAAATTTGGGTGATCTCGGGTGCTCCAGAAAAGTAAGCAGACCCTGCTTCAATAATGGCACCGCTCATGTTGCTCATGTTAAGTACAAATCCGGTATTAAGTCTCATTCGGTGATGTCACAATCAAGGAAAAGAGGACGGGATTGTGGTTACTACAATTGGAACATATCAGTTGTCATTTGTAACACAGATACTCTATAAAGGTCAACCAACTCGTGATGGTGTCCGTAAAACTTTCGAAGCGATGATATCAATTTTACCATTAGGAATCCTTGGTTCAATCACTTCCTTGTTAGCAGCAACCATCTATCAAAGACATCATATTGGGAAACTAAAATCATCCCTTTTAGTCGTAAAGCTTTCAAAATAAATTTCACTCCTAAATGCAATCAATGCAGAGTTAATATCATCATCCATTTTCTTAAATGTTAACTGCATAATTGGTATTGATTAAAAAATATTTCCTGTTTATGATAATTCCAGCAGTTGCCTTTTGTCATATCTTAATATTTTTTATTTTTGGAGAATTTGGTGTTAATGACAGATTTTTTGTCGTTTCTGTTTAATGTGTGTATGCCTGTTATAGATTCGGAACAATTAAAAGTTTGATCTTTTGTATACACACCTGTCCCTTGTTTGATACTGTATGTTGTACTCTAGATTGCACTGGTTAATTGTGTTGTCAATGCCATCAGTGTTTGATAAAGATGCTTACATATTTGGAAGCTTATTGTTTCAATAATTCAAATTATCGTTCGAAGTAACCTGTCGTGGTATTCCGTTTTAAATAGTTGATAAAATGACGGTCGACCGGTAAATGTCTTTTGTGCAACCAAAGGATATAACCAAACTTACAAACCAACCTTTTTTTAGGCTACGGGTTGATAAATTAACATTAAAATTCACAGTACTAAATAATAAAATATAAGGGTCAAGTGAAATACCTTTCAATTGAGTCATAACAACAAGATTAGGTGTGTTTGAATAATACATTTTTTCTTAAAGTACTTGACGCCAGACTTTAATTCTGGGTCTTTTTTTGTGCTAGAGTGTTTGTTATCTAAGGTAATTAGTCTTCAACCTCTGAAATTTTTTAGTCTGCCATTCAACGAAATATTTAAATAAATTGTTTTTTTTTGTGTATTTAAACTTTCAAAAATTCACCTTGACAAACGATCAGACAATAGTTTTAAGTTGACTAAAGTCCTTAAAGTACATTAAATGATGCTTAATAGCTAGAAGATACATTTATCTTTTAAATTGTCTTATACGGATCGTAATGATGCTATGTGGATACTTTTATCGGTTTTAAAGAGCTAAATTGACAGCGCGTCATCACAATAATAGTTTCCATTTTTACAATTGAAAAAAGGACGCAATGTGATTCTGGATAGGTTGAACTTGATACGCTCTTTATTAAAGGTTTCAGGGAAAACAATGATATTAAAGTTCATAAGCATAACAACAGAACGAGAAAATTATTCAATACTACTTTTGCTAGAGGGTATTTTATTATTCTCTCAGGTACACAATTATATCGTTTCTAAAAATTTGCATGCGCCAATGGATATAAAAATCTAGCACAAGAAATTGCAAAAAACAATCTTCAATCAGACGAACATGAATAAGTCTTTATTCCGTTTGTCAATATACGGAGTAGATCGTCGATTGACGACTTTGAAATCATTATATACTTCACTTGTACGTTGTAAAGCGTTTTATGTAGTTATCGTATCGATAAATATAAAAAGTTATAAAAAGGAATAGATAAATAACGTTATTAAATAGCTATCAGCATCAAAAGGAGAGAGAATTAACCGTGTGGACAATAAAGACAGGCATCACCATGATCAAAAAGAAAAACAACGAAAAATCATACAACAATAACAAAACATAACACAGAAAACGAAAAATTTAGAAACACGAAACCCACAAAAAAAACGAGAGTGAACTCGGGTAATCTGGAAGGGTCAGCAGTTTTTGCTCCACTAGAAACACCAGCCGAGTCACTTTTGTTAAAAACGTTGAAGAATCATATCAGATGTTTATGCATTATGTACTAGTAATAGCTGATTGGTGAATGTCTTATTGATACAAGTTTCCCAACAATAAACTAGACAAAATATTAGATTTAAATTTGAAACCATGGTTTTCGAGAGAAAGGTCAACAAAACATGTCCCGGTAGAAACAGCACAGACATTTAAAGGAAATAAGACATAAAACAACATAGAAAACTTAAGCAGAAGCAACACGAACCCCTTTAAAAAACACAGCAGAGAGGAGGACTCAGAGTAAGAGTAAGCAGTTTCTGCTCGACCAGTTGCTCCCGTCGTGTTTCTTGTTCTAGCGTTTATTTGTACCGTATTCCTGTCACGTAATGTTGTCATATCAGCGGTATTTTTAGCATTGCCATATAAGCGGGAGGTTTTGCTAGCCATAAAACCAGGTTCAACTCACAATTTTTTCTTAAAATGCCCTGTACCAAGTCAGGAATATGGCAGTTGTTATCAAATAGTGCGTTTCTATGTATGTTGGCGTTTGTTTTTGTTGCAGTTCGGTGTTTCTGTTGTTCCGTTGTTTTCCTCTCCTAGTTGATGTGTTTCCCTCGGTTTTGGTTTATGACCCGGATTTGTTTTCTCTAATCGATTTATGACTATTGAACAGCAGTATACTAATGTTGCTTTTATCTAAGATAAAAATCCTTTCGGTAAGGTTAAAATCGATGGGTTGTAGTTACGACAATTGGAACATATCCGTGGTCATCTGTGACACAGAATGTCTTAGAACAACTCCGAAACAATACCTAGACTTTAGAGTAGAACATTTTATCCGACTGTTTGATTTTTACTGCTCGTCAAATCCGTATTTCATTTGGCCTTCCAATTGTATTCATTTGAGCGTCACTGATGAGTCTTGTGTAGACGAAACGCGCTTCTGGTGTTCAAAATTATAAATCTTGTATCTTTGATGAGTTTTTACAGAGGTTTGAACGTTTGTTGTATATCTTGGATGTTTCCTATGCTGCTTGTAAAAGCATTCTGCATGAAGAAGTTTGTATTATGCAATAACACTGCTTTAAGTTTTTGTGAAAATATGTCGAGGCGGGTTAAGGCGACGAAAATTTTAAAATCGTTTGATTTTTGATTTTTTATCAGTTTGAGTTGTTCAAAGTAAAGTATTGCAGATATACCGTCATAACCAAATCTATATAGGTATAAACAAAAAATGAATGCCTTTATGATATTTCTAATCTCTGTAAAGGAACCGACTAAAACTATTTAAATAGTCATTTTGCATTTTCCCATTTTGCCCTGGAATGTACGATATTTCAGAGCTCGTGTTTCCTTTAATGATCTATTAAAAATTAATCTTTCGAGATTCTTCTTTTTCATAGAAGGTACTTGCATTCCTAATGTAAACATATTAAATGAGTCTTTTGAAATTAATAATGGTAATATATATTATTGATCAGGTTTGATATATGAATTCGAATAATAGCCGTAGATAATTTGAAACAAAGATTGCAATTAAACATATAACATAATGTGTAGTTTTTTTTTCAATAGTATGCAACCTGTCGTGGAGAGATACGATATTAACAACAACTGGATATATAAAATAAAACTAGTCAAGTTTTAATATTTTACAACTGAAAATGTTAAAGACAAATAATTACTTGGATTTGGATGAGCACCAAGACACACACAACCCATAAATGTCTTTGCATTTGTCAATATTGTCCGTTGAATCCTTGGAACATGTAACAAAATCAACTACACAGTTTAGGGCATAGCAATCTGAAAATACAATTGCAAATATTATATCCGAATCTACTAACATTATGAAGGTTTTGATAATGACGCATCTTTAACGTAAATGTCAATGAACAGACTTTATGAGTACCAAAGTGACTGTATGTCAACAAGAAAATTAATATCACACAAAGTCAATTCATAAACACTTTAAAAGAGGGAGAAATACCAAGAGAGCAATGAAAATACAGGGACTCAAGTATGATTAGTTCGAACTCCAAGAAAATTCGTAAGAGCTGTGTTTTCTACTGACTAAACTGTTTATTTGAGGGTTAATAGTAGTATTTCACTTTCCTTGCATTAGGTTGTCCTTTTGTGTACCCTACAAAGGCGATGGAAGTCATGTTTAGACCAGTGTTAAAAGACGTATGAGTATGATACCGCTGTAAATTTTATTTTGAAAATTGAAAATTCTTGAATTAAATGAAGTAATGTTTTACATTTTGGACAGCGTCTACTTCTATGGTAATGTTTATTTGTTTAACGTATAGGCCATGCAATATGCCACGTTACTGTCAAATTTGTAGTTTGGACTTCACCAATGAAAAAAAAATTATACATCAAGTCGTGCGTTCATGTGTTGAAAAAAAAAGAGTCAAAAATAGCAAATTTCTTGAAAACTAAATTCGAACGCCATATTTTAGATTTCATGTAATATATATACCTAGTATGATCTTTTGTCAAATAAAAAACATTTCCGTCTTTAATCTTTGTAATATGCATGATCGAAATTAATCAAGCATTTTTTTGGCAGATCTTGGCAATCGTAAACAATGACACGGATAGAACACAAAGTAACTTTGCTTTTCTTCCTATGAATGTTTTGTTTACATGTTGTAATGTACTATTATATTATTTATTTATGTATTTCTCTGTGCTGAGTGTTCTTGCGTTTGTTTGTACTGTATTCCTGTCACGTAGCGTTGTCATTTTAGCAATATTTTTAAACATTGCCATATAAGCGGGAGGTTTGGCTAGCCATAAAACCAGGTTCAACCCACATTTTTCTTAAAATGTTCTGTTCCAAGTCAGGAGACAGGAGACAGGAGTCCTGTTGGAACACAAACTCTATACCATTTATTCCGTAAGGAACAAATACTGTAAAATTTGTTCCAGTGGAAATAATATTACAGAATATTTCTTCTACTTGGAACTTATATTATAAAGGAACTTCTATTTGGTGACACCTTTACCAAAAAACTATACCTGAAAAAGACGGACAAACGGACGGACAGAATAACAAACGGACGCACAGACCAGAAAATCCCCTGTTAGCGTAGATTGGGAATAAAAGTGGTAAAAGCTGATTTGAAAGTAGTGAAATCATATGAGTAGTTTATAAAAAAGTTACTTACTAAATACTTCAGATGTTAACTGAATCCCTTCTTCATTATTTCCAGAATTATTCTCTGATGAAAATAAAAAAGCATATCACGACGTTAAGCGGTGATAATTATATTGCACAATATGCATATTTTGACAATAATTGTCTGTTCAAAGATTTTCGAGGCCGAAATGTTTGAAAATCCAACAAGGAATTAGATCTTTACCTAAAGAACATACATTTCTTATTCTAAAAAATATCATTTTCTGAGACTTATATACTAACAAATTTCTATTAAATAACATTCGTATATTGATGCCAGTTCAGGAGAAATGTACTACTGGGCTTGTGATTCTCTTGGGGGACTTACAGTCCACCATGCATCAGAGGTATCGACGCAATGATAGCAATAAAATATAACAGCACCAGTTGCGCATTTCCACAATTAATGTTTCTTCAGTGATGCCTCTTGCAAAAAAAGTGGGTATCTAAAATCCAAAACCGGAAAAAATCTTTGAGGCGAGATAAAAGCAATTTGCATTAAACAATGCCTGTATACTTAAGACAGTAAAATAATGATATTAAAGAATAAATGAAATACATCAATACACCTTACTACTATAATAATTTTTCAACTCAATTATAGACAGGACAGGACACATTGATAGCAATAACATATAACAGCACCAGATGCGCATTTCCACAAATAATGTCTCTTCAGTGATGCTCAATGCAAAAAAAGTATATCTGAAATGCAATACCTAAAAACAAATTTGATGCCTGATAAAAGCAAAATTTTGCATTAAACAATACATATATATTTAAGCCAGTAAAAAAAATGATATTAATGACTACTATAATAACTTTCCAACTCAATTATAGTCAGGTTCAGATGTATTTTGATATTCATACTATATCTCCTAATTATTATACAGTTTCGTAAAAATTTTAAGATTAGTGAAGGGAACACAACATTGTTGTTTTTCCATATATAGACATCTACAATTAGGGATCCATGTTTGACATTGTTATATAGCTAACAAATTGAGATATACGTCTGCCATTAGTTATCCATGTTTGACATTGTTATCATACCTAACACATTGGAATATACTTCAGCCGTTAGTTATCCATGTGTGACATTGTTATCTTACCTAACAAATTGAGATATACATCTGCAAATAGTTATCAATTTTTTACATTGTTATCTTACCTAAAAAATTATCTACCATTTGGAATCTATATTTGACATTGTTATCTTACGTAACACATTGCGATAGGAATCTATCATTATGGATCCATGTTTGACATTGCTATCTTACCTAACACATTGAGATATACATCTGCCATTAGGGATCCATGATTTCCTTGATGGAAGGTTGCTGCTCACAAGGAAGCTTTTAAACGAAGAGTTCCAAGTGGTGAAGTTGAAATCATCTCTTCTTAAATTTTACATACGCCATCACGAGTTGGTTGACCGTCATGGAATATCCGTTACACAGATGATAGCGGATATGTTCCAAATGTCGTAACTACAATCCCGTCCCCTTTTCCCTGAATGTGAGCTAGCGAATTAGACGTATTACCGGGTTTGTACTAACATGAGCAACACGACGGGTGCCACATGTGGAGAAGGATCTGCTTACCCTTCTCGAACACCTGTGATCACCCCCAATTTTTGATGGAGTTCGTGTTGCTCAGTCTTTAGTTTTCTATGTTGTGTTTTGTGTACTGTTTTTTGTCTGTTGGTCTTTTTCTTTGTTGACTATGGCGTTGTTTGTTGTCGACGTATGAGTTTGAATGTCCCTTTGGTATATTTCGCCTCTCTTTTGAGATAGACCTCTGCCATCATTAATTATCCATGTTTGACATTGTTATCTCACCTAACAAATTGAAATAGACTTCTGCCATGCGTTATCCATGTGTGACATTGTTATCTTACCTAAAAAATTGAGATATACATCTGCCATTAGAGATCTATTTGTTTTACGTGTTTTGTCATATAGCTCTTCAACTGTTTCGGTACTTATACATCCCTCGGATTTCAAATGTTTGGCTTTGAGCGTTCATGATGAAGGTAAATCCAGAAAAGCGCTTCGGACGCATGAAATTATTTAACGTGTTGTTTTCAATTTTTTACATCACTGGGTCGATACCTCTGCTGGTGGACTATCAGTCCCCGAGGGTATCATCAGCTCAGTAGTCAGTACTTCGGTACTAACATGATTTATAACAAACCCTTCTAAATTGTCCGTTAATAAATTTTGAAATTATAAAGAAACTAAGGTTTCAACTCCCTCAGGCAAAGTTGACCTTAGATGAATTTGGATATTGTTTTACGTGTTTTTGTCATATAGCTCTTCAACTGTTTCGGTACTTATACATCCCTCGGATTTCAAATGTTGGCTTTGAGCGTTCCTGATGAAGGTAAATCCAGAAAAGCGCTTCGGACGCATGAAATTATTTAACGTGTTGTTTTCAATTTTTTACATCACTGGGTCGATACCTCTGCTGGTGGACTATCAGTCCCCGAGGGTATCATCAGCTCAGTAGTCAGTACTTCGGTACTGACATGATTAATAACAAACCCTTCTAAATTGTCCGTTAATAAATTTTGAAATTATAAAGAAACTAAGGTTTCAACTCCCTCAGGCAAAGTTGACCTTTGATGAATTTGGCTTTTTGTTTTACGTGTTTTTGTCATATAGCTCTTCAACTGTTTCGGTACTTATACATCCCTCTGAATTCAAATGTTTGGCTTTGAGCGTTCCTGATGAAGGTAAATCCAGAAAAGCGCTTCGGACGCATGGAATTATTTAACGTGTTGTTTTCAATTTTTTACATCACTGGGTCGATACCTCTGCTGGTGGACTATCAGTCCCCGAGGGTATCATCAGCTCAGTAGTCAGTAATTCGGTACTTACATGATTTATAACAAACCCTTCTAAATTGTCCGTTAATAAATTTTGAAATTATAAAGAAACTAAGGTTTCAACTCCCTCAGGCAAAGTTGACCTTAGATGAATTTGGATATTGTTTTACGTGTTTTTGTCATATAGCTCTTCAACTGTTTCGGTACTTATACATCCCTCGGAATTCAAATGTTTGGCTTTGAGCGTTCATGATGAAGGTAAATCCAGAAAAGCGCTTCGGAAGCATGAAATTATTTAACGTGTTGTTTTCAATTTTTATCATCACTGGGTCGATACCTCTGCTGGTGGACTATCAGTCCCCGAGGGTATCATCAGCTCAGTAGTCAGTACTTCGGTACTGACATGATTTATAACAAACCCTTCAAAATTGTTCGTTAATAAATTTTAAAATTATAAAGAAACTAAGGTTTCATCTCCCTCAGGCAAAGTTGACCTTAGATGAATTTGGCTATTTGTTTTACGTGTTTTTGTCATATAGCTCTTCAACTGTTTCGATACTTATACATCCCTCGGATTTCAAATGTTTGGGTTTGAGCGTTCCTGATGAAGGTAAATCCAGAAAAGCGCTTCGGACGCATGGAATTATTTAACGTGTTGTTTTCAATTTTTTACATCACTGGGTCGATACCTCTGCTGGTGGACTATCAGTCCCCAAGGGTATCATCAGCTTAGTAGTCAGTACTTCGGTACTGACATGATTTATAACAAACCCTCCTAAATTGTCCGTTAATAAATTTTGAAATTATAAAGAAACTAAGGTTTCAACTCCCTCAGGCAAAGTTGACCTTAGATGAATTTGGCTATTTGTTTTAAGTGTTTTTGGCATATAGCTCTTCAACTGTTTCGGTACTTATACATCCCTCGGATTTCAAATGTTTGGCTTTGAGCGTTCATGATGAAGGTAAATCCAGAAAAGCGCTTCGGACGCATGAAATTATTAAACGTGTTGTTTTCAATTTTTTACATCACTGGGTCGATACCTCTGCTGGTGGACTATCAGTCCTCGAGGGTATCATCAGCTCAATAGTCAGTACTTCGGTACTAACATGATTTATAACAAACCCTTCTAAATTGTCCGTTAATAAATTTTGAAATTATAAAGAAACTAAGGTTTCAACTCCCTCAGGCAAAGTTGACCTTAGATGAATTTGGATATTGTTTTACGTGTTTTGGCATATAGCTCTTCAACTGTTTCGGTACTTATACATCCCTCGGATTTCAAATGTTTGGTTTGAGTGTTCCTGATGAAGGTAAATCCAGAAAGCGCTTCGGACGCATGAAATTATTTAACGTGTTGTTTTCAATTTTTTACATCACTGGGTCGATACCTCTGCTGGTGGACTATCAGTCCCCGAGGGTATCATCAGCTCAGTAGTCAGTACTTCGGTACTGACATGATTTATAACAAACCCTTCTAAATTGTCCGTTAATAAATTTTGAAATTATAAAGAAACTAAGGTTTCAACTCCCTCAGGCAAAGTTGACCTTTGATGAATTTGGCTTTTTGTTTTACGTGTTTTTGTCATATAGCTCTTCAACTGTTTCGGTACTTATACATCCCTCTGAATTCAAATGTTTGGGTTTGAGCGTTCCTGATGAAGGTAAATCCAGAAAAGCGCTTCGGACGCATGAAATTATTTAACGTTTTGTTTTCAATTTTTTACATCACTAGGTCGATACCTCTGCTGGTGGACTATCAGTCCCCGAGGGTATCATCAGCTTAGTAGTCAGTACTTCGGTACTTACATGATTTATAACAAACCCTTCTAAATTGTCCGTTAATAAATTTTGAAATTATAAAGAAACTAAGGTTTCATCTCCCTCAAGCAAAGTTGACCATAAATGAATTTGGCTATTTGTTTTACGTGTTTTTGTCATATAGCTCTTCAACTGTTTCGGTACTTATACATCCCTCGGATTTCAAATGTTTGGCTTTGAGCGTTTCTGATGAAGGTAAATCCAGAAAAGCGCTTCGGACGCATGAAATTATTTAACGTGTTGTTTTCAATTTTTGACATTGTTATCTTACGTAACACATTGAGATAGGCATCTATCATTATGAATCCATGATTGACATTGTTATCTCACCCAACACATTGAGATATGCATCTGCCATTAGAGATCCATCTTTGACTTTGTTATCTTAAGTAACACATTGAGATATGTATTTTTCATTAATTTTTTATGTGTGACATTGTTATCTCTAACACACTGAGATGGACTTCTGGCATTAGTCATCTATGTTTGACATTGTTATCTTTCCTAACAAATTGAGAAAGACACCTGCCATTAAGTATCCTCGTTTGACATTGTTATCTTACATAACAAATTGAGATATACATCTGCCATTAGAGATCCATGTTTGACATTGTCATCTTACGTAACACATTACGATATACATCTGCCATAAGGGATCCATGTTTGACATTGTTATCTTACGTAACACATTAAGATATGTTTCTATCATTATGGATCCACATTTGACTTGACACTGTTGTCTTACCAAACACATTAAGATAGACATTTGTCATTAGTTATTTATGTTTGATATTTTTATCTTACCTAACACATTGAGGTAAACATCTACCATTAGGGATCCTCCATGTTTGACAATGTTATCTTACCTAACACATTGAGATAGACATCTGCCATTAGGGATCCTCCATGTTTGACAACGTTATCTTACCTAACACATTGAGGTAAACATCTACCATTAGGGATCCTCCATATCTGACATTGTTATCTTACCTAACAAATTGAGAAAGACATCTGCCATTAAGTATCCTCGTTTGACATTGTTATCTTACATAACAAATTGAGATATACATCTGCCATTAGAGATCCATGTTTGACATTGTCATCTTACGTAACACATTACGATAGGCATCTATCATTATGGATCCATGATTGATATTCTTATTTTACCTATCACATTGAGATAGACATCTGCCATTAGAGATCCATGTTTGACATTGTTATCTTATGAAACAAATTGAGATATACATATGCCATAAGGGATCCATGTTTGACATTGTTATCTTACGTAACACATTAAGATATGTTTCTATCATTATGGATCCACATTTGACTTGACACTGTTGTCTTACCAAACACATTAAGATAGACATTTGTCATTAGTTATTTATGTTTGACATTGTTATCTTATGAAACAAATTGAGATATATCTTATCTTACCTAACACATTGAGGTAAACATCTACCATTAGAGATCCTCCATGTTTGACAATGTTATCTTACCTAACACATTGAGATAGACATCTGCCATTAGGGATCCTCCATGTTTGACAACGTTATCTTACCTAACACATTGAGGTAAACATCTACCATTAGGGATCCTCCATATCTGACATTGTTATCTTACCTAACACATTGAGATAGACATCTGCCATTAGGGATCCATGTTTGTTTGATGCTTTACATTGTATCACCTGTGTATCGCTTGCTGTAACACTTCTGAATACCAAACGGTCTTTCATTACACTTCTCTTAGGGTTTGGTATTTCTGTAAAAAGTCACCACAATTACAAGACTTATAAGTAAAGTATGCCAGACGCTCTTTTCGTGTGCACAAGACCAATCATATGACCAAAATTTGATGGCCTTATCACTTTTCAAGAGCATGTCTAGCTAATAATTCTACATGTTTTGCTAAAGTCATTTACGCCTGTAGAGGAATAATCTTCATGTGTATCGATGGTTTCAAATAATTAAGTAGGTTTACAGACAATAAGCCCATCAATGATAATTCTTGTCAGGAAAGGAGAATGTACACTTTTATTTAGGATAATGAATGAGTTGGCTTAGGGTTTGTTACCCCTGTAGTAAAAAACATCCTTCAAGGATAATGAATTTGTTCGTCTAAGGTTTGGTACCTCTGTAATTCATAATTTTCCAGTAAGAATAGTCAATGGAGTTGTAAAGGATTCGGTAACTCTGTTGTTCATAAAATTCTAATTAGGACAATCAATGATTAGGGTTCTTACGATACCTTCATCTTTTGTCCTTAATGTTCCTTAAGTTTAAGTAAGTTCGAATTAAAAGTTTCTATCATTGTGAAACCTTATATAGTATGTGAGAAAAGAACCATTATCTATGAAATTCTGAAAAATGGCAAAATTTTCCAATCCTTTAAAATTCATTTTTTTGGGTTAAACTGAGCAGAAATTAAAGCTGTATATTGTGGTGGAAGATTAGAATAAGAATATAAAACTTGGTGCTCTACCTTCTACCTATTTATTATTGGGTAACAATACAATGTCAACATTTATATTATTTTATATTAAAGGACGAAAGTTTAGGATCAGTGAAACTAAGAAAAACGGAATCATTTAGAGATTTTAAAACACGACGTATGATGTATATATTAAAATACCATCTATAGGTTTGCCGTTGATAAACCACTTTACTACTGGCGTTGGAATTCCGTCCACCAAACAAGGAAATTCTGCGTCCTCTCCAATGTTGGTTGTAACATCTACTGGTTTCGTCAACCAAAAAGGTCTTGCTGTGCAGAAAAAGGGATAATGGTTATACTGACAATATGCCTAACAGAGATGTTGTGAAACTGACTGCCTGGGTGGTCTTGTGGTAGCATGCTCGCCTATAGTGCGGAATGACGTTGGTTGGATTCCAAACCAATGACTTAAAAATTGGAATATGCTTCCCCACCAATCATGCTGAATTTACGGGAAAACGATAAAACCCAAATAACAAATTCTCCATAAGTATAAACATACTTGAGATGTGGTGTGATTGCCAATGAGATAACTATTCATCATAGTCCAAATGAAGTGGTTGTAAACAACTATTGGTCATCGTATGATCTTCCCCATTGAGCAAAATTCATACAATATAGTCAGCTAAAAATTCCCCGACATGACAAAATGTGACACAATTCAAACGAGAGATATTTTCTAATATACAGTGTATAGTAACCTTACATTGCAGGAAAAAAATAAATATTGACTGTATTTTGATAATATGACAATTTGACAGGTGCGTCTGATACATTGATAGATAGCCTGTTCATACAACATTTTAATTAATTTGTGTGGCCATAACAACCATTATGATACACATATTGTTAATTTGTGGAAGGGAAGTAAGGAATATCGAGTGTCAAAAACTGAAATTCTGTTGCTGGAAATTACAATATACCAACGCCCTATGTAAACATATCCGATGTGATTAGTATTGTACAAAAAACGGTGTATACAACTAAATACACATGCATAAATTATGTCAAAACATGTTTATGATAACTATATTAGATAAAAGAATCATGAATGAATAAACGACTGATTTAAAACGCATCCAAACATTAGAACCGAAATATACTAATTGGAAATCGACTTAGGGTTAAATCCGTTTTTCCATTTTCACGAGTTTTTCACAGATGTGTATAACATGTTGATGCAAATCAAAATATTAATATAACGAAATCGGAAAAAAGGAAACATTAATTTAACATATGCATATTTACACCAAACATTTGAAATTTCTTCACCTGAGATCACCCTCGGTTTTTGGTGGGGTTCATGTTGCTCAGTCTTCAGTTTTCTATGTTGTGTTTTGTATACTGCTGTTTTTTGTTTTTTGTTTTGTTTTTTGTTTTGCCATGGCGTTGTCAGTTTAATTCCGACTTATGAGTTTGAATGTCCCTCTGGTATCTTGTGCATTTCTTTTACATTTATCATACGGGTGCCTGTTGTGTAACTTACTTTACGGTATAGTTTTATGTCATTGGTATGTTGAAGCATTCTTGTCCTTTAGTCGTTGGTTGATAGTTGTCCCATTGGATATCATTTCACATCTAGTTAGTTTCATAATAGTACGTTATACATGATTACCTTCCACGAGAAGTTGGAATTTATGTGCATTGGTACTTCCCACAATATTTAATCCTTTACAAGAATACTCTCCTGTATCTTCATACTCAAGGTCACGTATAATTAGTTCGTGTCCTGATTTCAAGATAACACCTGATCTGTCATCTATTTCAACACCATTTTTCTTCCATATCATTTCCGGAGTTGGGCTGGAATAAATATAACAATCAATCATCAGTTGTACTCGTATATGTTAACCGTGTTCTGCCAACACGAATTCCAAAAAATATATACGCTATATTTGTTTGTATAAATCAAATGTTTAGACAGGTTTAACATATGTTCAAGCATCAATAAGTTCAACGTTTTTTTGTATTTGAACAAACCAAATTATAATCTGGTGAAATACTTAAAATTTTACTGTTTACTTGGTCATGAAACGTTATAACAGGAACCTGTTACAAATTCTAAGAGCTATACATACTAAAATCTTTCGATCATATCTCAGAGACCAGTGATTTTTATACTGATTGCAAAAGTAATGTAAATATTTAGTAATAGGAATACTTGTTATGGTCTACATCTGTAACCTAAACCAATTTTCTTTACAAAACATTTTATTTTTCTATATCGTGTTCAATAAAATCCATTATTTCGCAAGATAAAGTTAAAGCCAGAAACATGATATTAGAGATAGGCAATAAAGTCACATCTGGTGACATCACACGTCCTTCTATTGACACTATTCAAGTACGAATGATATCATTCAAATCTTAATAATCCAAAAATAAAATAAAACCTCGATGCTCTATCAAGAAATTAGGCCGACTTCATTTTCTTGGCATCATTAATTGTATTATTAAAAACAAATAGGAACGTCAAAATAACATTAACGGTACCAATTTTCTTGCACCTGATGCGCATTTCAACAATAAATGTCTCTTCAGTGACGCCCGAGGCCAAATTATTTGAAAATCCAAGAAATGATATAAAAAGCCAAAGCCGGGCACAAATCTCATTCAACATATTTCGTTCAGTGACGTCGTTGAATTTTTAATATTTTTATTGTAATATTTGTCTTTCAAACTTTACCTTTCTAGGTAATTTCTTAAATTCCAAACCATGCCTTGAAATATACAAGCAAATTAGTAAACCAAAGGGATATGTCTGTACCTTAAAGAGTGGTTGGAAAAATAGAGATCCGTTTGCTATATAAATAGATAATATTGCCATTTAAGGGATTTGTCAATCTCTATTCTCTGGTATTATATATTAAACTGCAACAGATAACGATCTATAACATTACAGCTATCCACAAACAGCTATATTCACTCATTCGCAATGCATAGAAACAGACTAATAACAAACCGTCACAATGGTAGATGTGCAAATTAAGGCGATCGTTGTTTACCGATGTTCAAATCTCGTAATCGATCAGAAGAAGACAAATCAAAGAAACCAACAGAAAATGAGGTAAATAGCATAGACTCCAAAAGAAGCGAGACCATGTGTGTCGACAGGGTAAGCGTCTCCTGCAATGCATGCATCACTCCCCACGTGAATTCACACTCAGTCAAAATGTCACATTCCAGAATAGGACAAAATCGATAAAGTTATAGACTAGACGACCTTACTGGTTAATAAAGATCAAATGCCTGGGCAAAACATGTCGATAGTGATTGAGACACCAAAACGGTGGGATCATACCAACTACTCAATGCTTTTAGTATTCATCGTATGTTATTAGTTTAATATAGAACGCAACTCAGATGTTTTAAGAAAACGTTATAAGAATTCCCCATGTATACAAAATGTAAAAAACGATCTTGTAAAACATACGAGATAGACGAACCTGGGTTTTCGATGCATGCTTTCTTTTCAATGCTAATTTTAATCCTGGTATCTATGATAAGTGTATTTACAACCATTGAGACGATGCCAATGATAATGTAGGTTTCCTCCCCGATGATATCACTAACTCAGTAGTCAGCACTTCTATGTTGACATGAATTATCATTGGTATGGTCATAATTATGAATTAACTGTTTACAAAACTTTCGAAATACTTAGGGTTTTCTACCCAAGGAATAGACTGCCTTAGCTGTATTTGTCAAAGAAACCTTTTGGAATGTTTGGTCCTCAATGCTCTTCAAAGCGCACTTTCTTTGCCCTTTTTAACGTTATTCAAACGTCACTGGTGTGTCTTTTGTAGACAAAACTCGAGTCTGGCGTACAAAATTGAATTATGGTTTCTATGATGAGTTTAATAACAATCATTGGTCGATGCTTCTGCTGGTTAATTTTTCCTCCCCGAGGATATCACCATCCGAGTAGTCAGCACTTCTATGTTGACATGAATTATAATTGAAATGATCATAATTATAAATTGAATGTTTACAAAACTTTGAATTTGTCTAACTACGTTCTACCCCAAGAATAGATTACCTTAGCTGTATTTGGCAAAAAGCTTTATGGATGTTAATTGGTAACTCAATGCTCTTCAACTATTTACTTTATTTGACCTTTTTAACTTTTTTGATTCCAGCGTCACTGTTTAGCCTTTTGCAGACAAAACCTGCCCGTCTGACGTACACAGTTTTAATCTTGCTATATATGATGAGCTATTACATATACGCGAATATACTTACTATCCATAGAGTATACATGTGAACGTTGCCTGTTCGCCTTTCAATCCCACGACTTTAGTCTCAGAATTATGTATAAATTGTGGTTTAATTTGAGTAGGGTTCATTCCTGTAACAAAATAATTAGAAAAAAACATCGACAAAGGCCTTAAAACAAATGAAAAGAATTTCACGTGATCATAAAAAGGCAAAAGATACCAAAGGGAGAATCTAAACTTTAAAGTGGACGAGGGACAGACTAAATAACAACACGTGTCTGAAACAACTTTATCAGATAGCTCGTGACTAAAAGTTCCCAAAGCTAAAACAATTTAACGTTTGGGAAAACTAACAAACCATACAAAAAGCGGAACTATATATCATAGAACACTAGTCGAACTAGATTATTTGTCTGTTATGTTAAAAACAATACCAAGGGGATAGTTAAAAAATGATACAAACGGAAAAGTAAATGGCAAAAGAAAAACGACGAAAAGACAAACTTTGACCTTGAGCGTCAATGAAAAGACATTAATTGTCAAAATGCGCATCATGCGCAATCCATTTGTTACTGTTAATGAATGCTACTGATATAACAGTCCATAAAATACTGAACAGAAAACTTAACACTGAGCAACACAAACCCCACCACGAACATGGTATATCATTACACGAGAAAGACTTTGTTTGTATTTTAACATATCTTTGGATTTTTAGAATCCACACCGCTCCTAAGGTATGTAGTTTTGTTTATAAATATTCCTTCTTTTGTATTTATATATATTTAGAGAGAGAAAAACATTAAAATAAACTGTGGGTTTTCATGCAGTTTATATAGTCGTAACAAATTATAAATTTATAATCCTCGTATCTTTGAAGGCAATAGTATTTAACCGATATCTAAATCTCGGTTATCCATTTAGAATGAAAACAACTATCTATAAAGTTCGTGCATCCGAAGCGCTTTACTGGATAACCTTCTTCAAGAACGCTCAAATCTGGACATTTGAAAGCTAGGGATGTGTAAAATTATGTTGAAACGTTAAGGCCTGTATGATAAAGGAGATATACTAATAAGAATTAAAAGAAAAAAGAAAAACAAACATTAGACTTAAGGGAATTGCATGAACTCTAAATGACCTTGTGTACCAATAAGAAAAGCATCTCCTGCTATGGATTTTTCATCAGTGGTGTAAAGCGTTAATATATAACTTCTGCCAGACGCTTGATAACATGAAAACATGGCAATCCGAGTGTTCATTGTATTTACATTGTAAAAGATATATTCACAGAATTATGCAAACAAAGAGATTTTGGGACATACGTAAATGAGACAGCAAACAAACGACAGAAATAACAAAAAGTAACAAAAATAATGTTATTTGATCGAAAATCCCATATTCGCAGTATTTAAATGTAACTGTCACACACATATGTTTTTTGTTTTGGCCTTAATATTTGTACCTAAAGAGTGGTTATATTAAAACGTAAAACATTTGTGAAGTATTGCTTCCATCCTGTTCTGCATTTAATGTATAGTCTAATGTTTGAAATAAATCATTTTAAGTAATGATTAGTTTAAATCCTTAACTTGATAAAAGACTTTCCATTTAAACAAAAAGAATAAAATTCATTGTGTCAAATAATAAGTACAACAACTCACTTGTATTTACATTGATAATGTGGTCGTCTCCTGTTTTAACATTCCGGTATATAGAGTTGTACGTGTTACATCTGTATATTTTACCGCCATCTATTTCCCTGATATTAGCAAAATAAAGTGTCCCTGTAAAGATTTGATTGTGATATGTATAACAAGTATAAATAAGTAGTAAGTAGGAAATATGTTATCATCAAAATAACTCACGTAGCAAAAAAGACTTCTTGAGCCTGCCCTGAATCAAGAACCCGGTAGTGCATATATCTACATAATAGTTTGTCATTTTGGGGAATTTGTATTTATGGTACTTATATCCCCGATAGTTTCAGTTACTTAACTAACTTCTTTTCTAGACTTGGGGCGATTTAGGGCTTGATATATTGTATAGAGATATGTCTATAGATAGTTTTCGATTGAGGCAATGTACGCAAAAATTTTAGAGGTCAACGTTCACACATTCCTTCATAAATAAACCAAAATTCAATGTGTTGTACTGACCGTTAGACTTTTGAACAATTTTAATTTCTTTAAGCATTGCTCAATACTTGACAACGATGTAGTTAACTATATAACGAAACACTAGGATAAACTCATATGTTTCATCTATATAAATATCTTTTGATTACAGTGTTTAATATGTGTTCTCCGCAGCCACTTAATATGATTATAATGCATATGTCTAGCTATTATTGGTAACATAGATGTTTAATAAAATTCCGTAATGATGATTGACAGACAACAAGTATTCAGCTTTAATTATTTTGGGTGAAGTTGTTTCGCTAACTAGAATAGTAATTTGATTACATTTTAATACCATATACATTCAAAGGACAATCAAATAAATGTCTTTGTTGCATTGTTTTAGTTTGCCAGATTGTTTTCTAATGAAATAGTACATGTGGTAACAATGTAACAGTCTTCTCCTGGAGATGTAACGAAACATCGAAAATCGATATTGGACCATTCTGGTTTTAAAAGATATGATTATCATAACATCAATACAAGTTCTAAGACGGTCGTATGACATAGCTACGCCCGAAAGAGATGTTTTGAAAGTGTCATAAATTAGAATGTATCCTTTATAACCTTATCGTTAAGTTGGGACAATATTTGTCAGGATAATAGTGAGATTTTTTACAATTATATCAATAAAACAAATTCGTAAGTCGAACTGACACAAAAAAACCCGTAAAACGACCAAAGTCAATCAACAGTCTACAAAACATAAAGACTGAGCAATGCTTACAAGTCTAATTGAATTCGTCCTACTGTTCAACATTAAAGATAAGGCACGTGCTATGAAGAATTGTTACTAATGATTACCATGAAAAGAACTTAGTGCACATGGAAGAACCGTGTATTTCCTGCATTTATTTGTATGTAAAAAAAACTCATCATAGATACCACGCTTTAAAAAAGTTAAGGCTGAAGCGCGTTCCAACTTGTAAGCCTGGTATCTTTGATGAGTTTTTACAACCACTGTATCGATGTCACTGCTACTTGATTTTCGTCCTCGAGGGTATTACCAGCCCAGAGATTTGCACTTATGTGTTGGCATGCAATAAAACGATACTATTTGTTGTTTTCTGTTTATAAAAGTTTAAATATTTCGAAACACTAGGAATGTTCTACTCCCATGCATAGATGGCTTAGCCAAATTTAGCACATTTTTTTTTCGAAATCTTTTTTTGTCAGTGCTCTTCAGATTCGCATTTGATTTTATCTTTGAACTGTTTTGTTTCGAGAACCACTGTAAAGTGAGTCTGCCCTAACAAAATATAAATCTGTGTTTTTCATGAGTTTTTACAACCACTGGGTCGATGCCACTGATGTTGGATTTCGTCTCCAGGGAATCACCAGCCTGGTAGTCCGCACTTCTGTGTTGACATTTTATATCAATGATACGGTCCCTTTGGGTAGATTTTAAACGGTACGAAACACTTATGTTTTCTTCTCTTAAGGATATATGGCCTTAGATATAGTTGGCATAACTTTTCAGAAATGTTGGTTTTTTAATGCTCTTCAACTTCGCATTTGATTTGACCTGATAACTGTTTGAATTCAAGCGCCACTGATGATTCTTGTGTCACTTGTCTGGCGTAACACATCATCAGCCAGGTATTTTGGGTGAGTTTTTAATTACTTAATAGTAACTATTATAAAGGACAACAGTCCAAAACATTAATTTGAGCGAGAACATAATTGTCAACGGACTGGGATAAATATATTCTACTCATAAACTTACGGTTTATTTCTAATTTCGTGACAACATGCTGTCTTTCTCTTTTCTTATGATAAAATGTTAATTCTGCTCTACATTATAAAAGTATCTTCCCCGTTCGTGTACTGATTTTGCATCAAAATTGATCGATGATTTTGCTGTTTTCTTCCTTTTTTGTAAGTTTTTCAAACAGGCTGTTATTCGAATTTTAAAGGATTTTTATTGCACTTAATTTTTAAAGCGATTGCGTACATTAATTAAGAATTTGACGTTGTTATCCTATGTATGCTGAACCATTTAAACACTTAAGTCAATTAAATCGAATTATGAAAAAAAATTGAGATTGTGTGTTCAAAATCTCATTTTGCGTAACATACACAAGAGTGAAGACACTGTTATATCTCGTCTGCTTTACTGACCATTGATTTTATGTTAATAGTCTTAAAGGTAAATGTTTTACTACAAGTATCATATAAACTTAACATTTTTAAATATCCATAGCAATGAGGTCAAGGTCAGATAAATCCTGCCAGACAGACATGTGTACACCTTACAATTATTACATGCACCATATATAGTTGACCTATTGCTTATGGTAATTTTAAAACAAACCAAATCACAAAAACTAAACATTGACCAACGAACCATGGTAAAGGTCATATTATACCTACCAGATAGATGTTCACCTTAAATTCATTCCATACACCAAATGTTGTTGACCAACGTCTTATAGCATTTAAAAAACGGACCAAGCATAAACAACTTAACATTGACCAATGAACCATGAAAATGAGGTCAAAGTCGGATGATAAATGTCAGACAGACATGCACACCTTACAATCATTCCATACACCAAATATAGTTGACTTACTGAATACAGTATTTAAAAAAAAAACGAAAACACAAAAAACTTAGCATTGACTAATGAACCATGAACATGAGGTCAATGTCGGATGATACATCCAGACAGACATGTACCCCTTTAAATCAATCCATACACCAAATATAGTTGACCTTTTGCATATAGTACTTGCAAAACAGAACAAAACACAAAAATTTACTTTGACCAATGAACCATGAAAATTATATCAAGTTCAGATGAAATCTGCCAGACTGACATGTACCCCTTACAATAATTCCATATACCAAATATAGTTGATAAACGGCTGATAATATCCGAGAAACTGACCTAATCATGTAACTTTAACCATAATCACTGATAAATGAAATGAGGTCAAGGTCATGTGAACTCTGTATGACGGATCTGTAGACGTTGCAAGGAACCCATATGCCAAGTATAGTTATCTTATTACTCATAATTAGTGAAATATCCACATGATTAAAAAACTGTATTTCTTTTCAAGCAGTCGCTGAACCATGAAAATGACGTAAAGGATCAATGGACATATGATAGGTATAAACTTCGTAACATAAGGTATCTGCATACAAGGTATGAAGCATCCAGGTCTTCTACCTTCTGAAATATAAAGCTTTATATAAATAGTTTACGCTGCCTCCGCCGCCGGAACGAAATCTCTATGTCTCGCATACTGCGGCTTTGCTCGCAGACGAGACAAAAAAAAAACAAAAACAAACTACCAACATCATGCTTTATTATGGGAACCATACAATTCCAAGCTGATAAAAAATGCAGATGAGTTGAATCAACTGTAATGATTTAACTCAAAATCAGGAAAGATGTACTTTTAAACATGATAAAATAAATAATCCATTTGCAAAGGAAATTGACGACACAAAATTATGATAACAAAATGTAATAACAATTCCTTCTGGCATATACTAATGTAAACTGGAGAATTTGTTTTTGGACAGTTAGATCTACATACAGAGACAGACAAACAGACACCCAAATGCACAGACAGACAGAAAGATAGACAGGTATACATACAAACATACATGCACAGAAACAGACTAACAGGCCGACAAATTCACACACACACACACACACATATATATATATATATATATCCCAATAGCATGAGTTCGAATTTAGATTTAACACTCTTGGGCTGATATTAAGAGTAATTATGAATAGAATATGTGTTATCAGCCGTGTATCACCTTCACTGGTGATCCAATGAATGGATCTGTCGTAGAGTTATCACTTGTTTAGACGTATTTATATATATACATACACAGACAGGCAGACAAACAAGGCAAAACACTAATCCATGTTGTCTTTACACATATATATTTCAACTTAAAAGAAATTGATATCTTAATTATCTTACCTTTAGAATCCATCGAAACTCTTTCACTCAATTGTACTTCTTTCTGTCGATCGAATAAATTGTCGTTGGTAAGATAGTCACCAATGTTTTCGTAGGTCCAGGACACTTTGTGCTTTGGCATGATGTCAGGAAGATTACATTTAAGATAAAATTGGCGATATTCGTCCAAGGAATATCTTTTCGGGTTACTAACTCGGTTAAAGTGCCTATCGTTGGCAAATATAACATTAGCCCTCTTGCTCAGTGATGTACCATAATCGTTAGTTGCTGAACATTGATAAACTCCTTGATCGGTTTGAGTCGCATTTTTAATAAATACTGTTCCTTCTTCTGTCTCTAAATATATTCTCAATGAACTTGTATCAAAGTTTGCACCATCTTTAGTCCAGTTATATCTAAAAAAAGATTTCTAATTTTATACAGTGTGAAAGTTTATTGAGTGTCTGTCGTCACTTATGCTTGTAAAATAAAAGATGGTATTATATTAACATCAACGAGACAGTAACCTAACAAAAAAAAAAACCTAAAAGCACACACATGTTTGTGTTGACAATCATCTTTCTATTTGAGTTTGTATAAAGTACAGTGAACTCAAATTTTATTGTTTGTTTGATTGATCCAGGACGCCTGGTAAACCATCACATCTCAACCAAATATTTATGCGAGAAAAAAATTTACTGGGACTTCCTGCTAAGCTTTTCTGATATAAAATATGAAAAAATTTAGAAAAAGTAGATCGACTTTTCATCAATTTATTGTCAATCTGTGACCTTTTTTGTTAAGTAGGAGAATGTCATGCCATAGATAACTAAATGAGAGCTTGTCTCGTTTATTAGTTAGACCAATGTTATTAAAAATTACATCGTAATGACTTTTCTTCCGTAGGAAAGTCAGGCTAGCTCAGTGAGTTTTTGACAAAATGACAGTGAGTTTATCAATAAATCTAACGTATATATCAGTATATTTGTGTTCTTCTTAATCAATATAAACGTATTTTAAGTTTTCTATCTTTTTTAGAAATATAAAGTATGTCAGATGGAGATTGTCTGGTATCGGTTGAGATTTTCTGGAACAATGTTGAGAACTTCTGTAGAATAACACTTTTACTTAGCTAATTGTCAATCGGAAACGACCGTCAAAGTTCATACACTTTCTGTACTGTGGTTATCAATTTAACTTGTTTCTAGTTTTGACATTAATTTGTATGAATGAGTCTTTTTGGTCTAAAACAGGTACTAAAGAGTAGAGCTTTTTAAAGTCTAGCGAACGAGATGTAAAGTCAAGCGCTGAAGATTTAAAGTCTAGATTGAAGATGTAAAGTCCAGCGCTAGAGAAGTGAAGTCTAGCGCTCAAAATGTATAGTCCATTGTTGTAGATATTATTTAATTTTGGATGTAACACGTCTTCTGATTGGGTGAAAGGTTTTTGTCTATCAGCTCATAAACACAATTTTGTCATGTGACCATGATGTCATCAATTTTTTTTTCATGATTGACTCCTTCAAAATGTAATTTAGAATTGAATTTTTAAAGAATGACTGTAATATTTTTCTGTCTATTCGAAATAACCTAAAAAATGTGGTGCACACTTTTAAATAACCCACAGCACGGGTTATTCAGTGTGCACCACATATTTGATATTATTTCTTCATAAACAGAAAAAATATTACATTCATTCCATAAATAAAGTCGAGCGTAGGTATAAGGTAGCAACAGACAGTAAGGACTTTAATATTGCATTCAATTAAATTAAAATATTGATCTCTGATACCATTACCCTTATATGAAAATAACACGCGAGTTGCGATAATTCTGAATTTTAATCACATGACTTTCGCATTTTGGTCCCGATGCAATTTTCAAATGTCAAAGTTATTTTACAATAGATATAATTCTTAGTTAGCTGAAGAATAATATAGCCTTCAAAGGCGGTTTATGTGAACTACAAGAATGTTTTTTTCGCATATTAAAAGGCTATTTTCAGGTATAGAAATTGTATATATAGCTAAACCTCCCACTTGTATGCCAGTTATTTGTAGTTCGTTATATTGACAAAATTGGGTAAGCAATCCAAACAGACATAATAGGTTAATGTGACAATAATTAATCCAGCAGTAAACATGGTAAAAACTGTGTAAACGTACATCACAGTCATACAACACAACTGACTAAAAAATCAAACAAACATACAAATTAATCTAACAAAGACGCCAACAAAAAAAATATAAATTGTAGTAAATAGTAATAACTCATCAAAGATGCCAAGCCCAAAATGTTGTGCGCCAGAGCCGCGTTTCGTCTTCATCAGTGACGTGAATTAGACAATGACGTCATCAACAAAAAAAATTGTTGTTGTTGATAGTACCATAGTATAACGTGAGGGTACTCAAATTGCACCTATTTTAACAGTTTTTTTTCACCTACGTTTATTTATGATCTAGACAAAAGTTTCCATTATAGTGTAGGTGTATCCTTATTTACTATATATTGTTCCACCAATTTAGTAATGAATCAATATCGAATCATAGATAAATGGGTTCGAACACAGGGGCGGATCCAGGATTTTGGAGTGGGGGGGGGGGGGAGTGGGGGGGGGGGGGGGGGGGGCGTAGTATTAAGTTCGCCGAGCGGACCTTTTTTTGGCTAAAAAACATAAAATAAGTGTAAAATGCATTTTATAGTTAAAGTGTAGGGGTTGGACATTTTTGGTGCCGTATTCTCTCCATCAATTGTCTTTAATGAAATGATTGGATGGATCCAAAGCTATGTACTAATTAATATATTTGATGTGGGATTTGTCATTAAAAAATGGACATGGAAAATTCTTGTTTGTTGTATGGTTAGTTAGCAGATCACAGATTTATTGTTGTAAACAAGATATACGGCTATTCAATGAAATTTACAATACGACCGACACGAAGAAAGACAAACAAGCAATTTTCATCCAAATGTTTGGTTGAAATGTTTTACCCAACAAGGGAAGTGAGGGGTTCCAAATCAACCAAAGGCTACGAATTGGTCGGAAATGACAATGAAGTTGTGAATGACGGTCGACACATGGAGACATATAGGCCACAACCAGCAGTCAGGTTGCAGTCGGGCCTTGAGAAAAGTATTCAGTATATCAGTTCGGCGAAACAGACATTCCGGTCAGATATGGGATTCACATGCAACCCCCCCCCCCCCCCCCCTCCTCAAAAAAAAAAAATACGCCCGTTTTTTATTCATCATGTTTATTTAATACTAAATAATTCTGTTGAAAATATTTTTTTCTTATAGCAAAAAAGTGGACAAGATTATTGTTTTCAATCCAGATACGGCCAGAATTTTTGTTTAAGGCAAAAATCAGGGTAAGAAATTTTTCTCTAAAATCATCTCAGACTGCCCCCTCAGATCAAATGGTCTTAGACTTTAAATCTATATCTAGAGCTTACTGACTGGGGATCACTATTCAGCTATGTTATTAATGGGCTGGGGCGTGTGGGGTTTAACATTTTTTCGTAGGTAAATAATATTGCTGTGGAATTTTTTTTTTCATGAGAGTGTAATAGAGTATTACTTTCTGTTGGGTGGAATTGTGAAATAGAAGTCAATACGTTCTTGCTCAATACTTTGTCGCTTTGAATGCGTCATGCTTGTTATTTATGTATTATTGTCATTTTGTTTATTTTCTTTGGTTACATCTTCTGACATCAGACTCGGACTTCTCTTGAACTGAATTTTAATGTGCGTATTGTTATGCGTTTACTTTTCTACATTGGCTAGAGGTATAGGGGGAGGGTTGAGATCTCATAAACATGTTTAACCCCGCCGCATTTTTGCGCCTGTCCCAAGTCAGGAGCCTCTAGCCTTTGTTAGTCTTGTATTATTTTTAATTTTAGTTTCTTGTGTACAATTTGGAGTTTAGTATGGCGTTCATTATCACTGAACTAGTATATATATTTGTTTAGGGGCCAGCTGAAGGACGCCTCCGGGTGCGGGAATTTCTCGCTGCATTGAAGACCTGTTGGTGACCTTCTGCTGTTGTCTGTTCTATGGTCGGGTTGTTGTCTCTTTGACACATTCCCCATTTCCATTCTCAATTTTATTGTCATTCTCAGCACAAGCAATGTGTTACTGTAATTTGAATTTCAAAATGACTGAGTGACGTTTTTTTTTCGACGAACTGGTCAACTCCACCGTAGAGAATCACATGACTTTGACATAATCAATAAAATATTACAGTAAATACGAGCGAAAAATATCTTTATAAGTAAAGAATTGTCGCATAAAAATTAAATACACGGGAAATGGCAAAGTTCACGAAGTCTAGTCTGATTAATCATTTTACAAAAAAAAAAAAAAAAATGCAAGCAAAGGGGGTGCGTACGACCCCCTCTGGATCCGCCTCTGGATCCGCCACTGGAACAGACCTCCAAATGATCCACGATTCTGTGATGAGGAGCACCCAAATTGCATTCATGCTTTAATTTACATTCGTAAAAATCGAATTGCTGATGTTTTGTTTTATTTCTCCAAATAATTAGAACAATATGACAATAATCCATACTTACTATTAATTTTTTTTAAATGGATTCCTGTAACATATTTTAATTGCTCATTTTGGTGAAGTTGACTTTTTGTGGACGTCACCCCGTAGATTTTACTTTTTCCAGTAAATACTTCATCTGTTGATATATACTGTGAAATTTTTGTGTATTTAAAATATATTAAGCAATGTTGAAAGACGTGCATAATGTCAAATTATAAAATTGCAAATCGTTTAGTCTATACGAAAACTTGAAAGATTTCCTCTGCTATTTTTGCTAAACGGGTGCAATTTGGATACTCGATGTAATTTGGGCGCTGTGACGTTACACTTTCTCGATAAAGTAAAAAGGGACCAACAAAAATTTGTAATCAACAACTACTTAAAAAGAGGTAAAACATAATTGTATAAACAAAGACAACAACATAATAAAGTCATGGAATTACAACAGAAAAATCACATATGGAAGAATAAAACTGTTTAGTTTTTTAAATACGCCCCATTTTTAAAAGAGGAACGAAAAATACCAAAGGGACATTCAAATTCATCAGTCGAAAATAAACTGACAACGCCATGGCTTAAATTAAATGTGCATTAACAAATGTTCTAAAGAAAAAGAAGCAAGTTTAATTCATTCAAGCTCTTAAATCTATAAATAACGGAAACTGATGACATAATACAATATTACATCTCATACATCATACTAAAAGAACAAATTTGTCGTATTGTCAGGAAAAAACGAAGCTCAAACTGAAAGAAATAAAGTTGTGATTGTAAAAGTAGTTCTTGTATTAGCATATGCTTCCCTTCAGAGCACAGGAGATCATTCCGAGTTTTTGCTAAGGTTCATATTGGTCAGTTTTTTGTTTGCATATTTTTGATCCGAAATATCAATTGTTTCATTTTTACTACAAATATAGTTCTCTATAGTATATACAATATAAAAAAATGTTATCATACATCATTCGGTTTAAGAGCTCTAAAAACCCCGAAAAATGATAACCCGTTTTGAATAAAGATTACTTACTTACATGCATGCATAATAATAATGATTATGTTCTTTTTACCGATTGTGAAACTTTGTGGATTTGCATGGCATTTGGTTCAGGCATAGTATGAGACACTAACACTGTCGATGCAACCGGTATCGCGCCTTTTATAGTTTATGCGATTCCCTCCGTTTTTTTATTTTTACATTATTAATCTGTACCTTCTTAATCGATAAATGAGATTTTAACATCGTTAAACTACTGTTGCCTTAAATTTCAACAACAGGGTTTGACCTTTTATTCTTACTATACTTACTCTTGATATAAGGGTTAGTTGCTTACCTGGAGACTAATTATGTTTAATATAAATGTAATATGTCCGTATAGACAAACTTTTCACGTCAGATATCTACTTGGTTAATATTTTCTCCCATTAAACATGTCAATTTTTAATCAAGAAAAATTTATTCAATATAAAGATGGCGCACTGTCATGAAAGCGTTTGAATACTGTTAATTTTGTTTATATTGCATCAGTACCACCTCTAGTTGAAAGTTATGTTTTACAGAAAAAATGGTTTGCTACCTTATTATCATTATTTACTTTGTTTAATGACTATACACACATTAGATTGTCTGATTGGTTGTTCAGAAAGTTCATTAACATATAAATATATTTATTGAATACAATCAGTATAATCTGAAGTAAATATCCATTTTTTATATATTTTGTGTGTGTGTGGAAATAATGGATTTTCCATATCCCAAAGTATGAGTCCGTCAACAAGGGTGTTAATCAGAACATATAGAGGGAATGTCGCTACAGTGTGTCCGACCTTCTCTTTGTCGCGCATATTTTTTTTAACAAAATAATTTATTCACCTAAATGTGAAATTGATTAAACTAAAAAGTTTTAAAAATTATATCACGACGTGATTTTGTTAATGATGACTCCTGAAAAAAGTATGTCGCATGACTCATATAATTGGTTTTAAAGTATTGTGAAGTTTGAATATAATCATTCTCATACATGCCTTACTGATATAAAAGGTGTACACGTCTTATTCTTTCACGATTAGATCATTATTTATTTTCATGATAAATTGTTTTTTTTTTTTCACAAAATACTATAGCAAGAAGGTCTATAAGCAAGTTAACGTTTTTATCAGATCAATCTTTTATCTTTCCATGTTTTTTTCATGGAATTTATGAATATCTAAAATCATTTTCACCTTCATCTGAACCAGTTGTTTTGTGAGAAATTTTCCTTGATTTAAAGGTCTCGGCATATCTCTCAGCTCTATATTATAATTTGTTTATTAATTAGCAAAAACATAAAAAAAAGCTCAAATTATACAGCTACAATGAACATTTTATTACTATAGATACAAATCATTTAACAATTAAAATATATATATGGCGTCTTTGTCATTTTTACCACTGCCGAGTTCATAACTCTTCGTGATTTATTCCGGATACCCTCTATAATCAAACAAATAAAAAAACGGAAAGACATTAAATGCTAGACACCTTGTTCTCATCAGATGTTGTTTTTATTTTGCCTCTATTTTGTCTGTCGTATTCAGTCATGACACTATGATAAATATTAGTAATTATGAAACCCAATCAAAATTAGATTTTTAAATAGTACTTACGTCACTTCAGGTCGTCCGGAAGCTTTACAGTGTATCTTTATTGTGTCTTGTCTTTTAAAGTAAATAGTTACTGTATCACCAACATCACAAGTAGACTCAGAACAATGAAAAGGTGTAGGCTCTTCGATAATACTAGGTGGCTGGTCATCTAAAATTATTTTTATTGAAGTAGGTATATACAACAACAAAAAATATAAAATCATAATTATAATTTCTTTTTGTTGACGATGAAAATAACCTAATTAAAGTTATTAAAATTTAACACAACCGTGTCAAACTTAAAAAAAAACAAAACAACTAAGAGAAATATCAAAAACAAATATGTTGCTTTACTAGTAGATACGGTAACTCCAATGAACACTAATATTGTAAGACTTTCCCGTTGTCTCAAGATTATTTCTGCTTGTCTTTTTACTGAACCTTGACACAACTGGAAAGAAATAATGTGTCTAGGATCTCCCTCGTCCGAAATTAAGACAGTTGTCAAGGGACCGTCTGTATCTTTAAAACTGTGTAACAATGCACAAATATTTCAAGTAGTTTGTAATGTGTAGATGCTTGAATATTTGACAACTATACGACAGACATTTTTCATCGGACTACCATGGGTTATGCAGTGCTAACAACGCAAATCATATATACTTATATACCCACCATTTATCTTTTGTGGCGGGCATGTTTTTTTTCCGTGCAAACAACGTTTTCAAGTTGTTTTCGATTCTTTTAGTAATAATTTCTTTTCAACGAATTTTAATTAAAAAAATAGTTGTTCTTTCTCTGTGGAATAACCTGGGAGTATACAGGTCTTTCACCTAATATTTCCTGAAATTTATCTGAACTATGTTTAAAAATTTGCATTAAAAATGTTGTTCTTATCTGGGCCTCCAACGCATTATATAGACAGGAGCACCTTATATCTAAATAGACTGAGAAAAAGGATAAAAACTGTGTATCTTACCAATTGCATCTGTAATTGTAAGACAACCACCAGTACATAAAAGTGATAGAATAGCCAAACAACTGTGAAATGATGTCATACTTATACTAAAATAGAAAATCAAAAAAAATGCATGTAGTTACTTAAATATCATAAAAACCACTATGCGAACAATCGTAACCGAAAACGCTTTGAAGCACCATGGTCTATAGCCCACTTATCCACAGATTGAAAAAAATTCAGACTTTTAAAAGCCTTTTTTGCTCGTCTGGATCTATGCGCATCTTCAACTATGGCCACTCAACATTGTAGACTTGCCCTGTTGATTCTTGTTGACTACTGTCAGTATAAGTACCCTGCCACGTCCACAGTGTATTTTACATGTTTTTGCTTTGTATCTATCTGATGAGTTAACCCTTTTCAACTGTTTTTTTTATAGTTTGTTCATTTGTTGTACTGTTACACCACTGTCCCAGGTTAGAGGAAGGGTTGGGAGAAAACTTACATGTTTAACCCCGTCACATTCTGTACATGAATGTCCCAAGTCAGGAACCTTGATTTCAGTTGTTATTTTTTCGTTTCTGTATATTATATCAAGTATTCGTTTATTGTTTTGTACAGTTTGTTCTTGTGTTGTGCTGTTGTCCTACTGTCACAGGTTAGGGGGAGAGTTGGACGCCCGCCAAACATGTTTAATCCCGCCACATTCTGTATGTGCCTGTCCTAAGTCAGGAGCCTGTAATTCAGAGGTTGTCGTTTGTTGCTGTTATCATATTTGTTTTTCGTTCATTATTTTGTACATAAATCAGGCCGTTAGTTTTTTCGTTTGAATTTTTAGATTTGTTATTTCGGGACCATTTATAGCTGACTATGCGGTATGGGCTTTGCTCATTGTTGAAGGCCGTTCGGTAACCTATAGTTATTAATTTCTGTGTCATTTGGTCTCTTGTGGAGAGTTGTTTCATTGACAATAATACCACTTCTCTTTATATTTTTATAGAACATAATTTGAGACTAAAATCTCTTTTTGCTGATCATGTCTTGATTTTTACTGTTTACATTTTCTCTCTATGTAACATAGTTTTGTTTTCCAAAAATAAAGTAAATGAGTTAAAAATCGTCATTAAATGGCAATAAGTCTTATAAGGAGTCAACTGACAACTTCTGCAATTGTCACCTAATTGTAGATCTTGTCTTTCTTATCATTTTTAGTGTTTGCAATTTTTCTTTATCCACCAAATTTTCCCCTCAAATAGGTAAAAATCATCTATGAAGAGCATAAAGCCCTATAAAACGGTGACTGACAATTTCGGCCATCTGACATATTTGTAGAACTTGTCTTGCTGATCATTTTTGTTTTTTTAATAATTCCATCTATCTAAGATTTTCAAGATGATAGGCAAAAACGAAAAACATAATGGTAAAAATTGCCATTTAAGGGCATTTATTCCTATAAGGCATTTGCTAAATATTTGGGTCATGTTGACTTATATGTATATCTTATTTTGTTGATCATTTATTATATTTTTTGTTTTTTCTAAATACAATAAATTTTTAGATGACATTAAAAAACGCAAACAGTTTGTAAAACTCCTCATTAATTAAAGGGCAATAACATCAAATAAGGAGTCGACTGAAAATAACATACATTGGACTTATTTATAGATCTTGTCGTGATGATCATTTTTCCTATTGGAGGTTTTTTCTATCTATTATAGTTTTCATGATAATAGGCAAACTTGGAAAAAAAGGACAATTCGTCATTTAAAGGCAATAACTCCTATATATCCGATATCTGTAACAAACATAAACTATTAGCTACTTCTTTACAAGCAGAACCAAATACAATGAAAGTCCCAACTATGTATTGGCTTCCGAAGCTGCACAAATCACCTTACAAATATAGATTTATTTCGTCTTCAAGTCATTGTTCCACTACTAAATTGTCTATTCTACTTACTGGTACACTTAGTACAATCAAAAACCTGATAATTAATTGTTCAAATAAGGCCTTTGAAAATAGTGGAATTAACTACTTTTGGAGTGTCAAAAACTCGTTGGAAGTACTTGATAAATTGCATGCATATATTGGTGATTTTGAATCTGTTCAAAGTTTTGATTTTTCTACCCTATATACCACTTTGCCTCATATTCTTATTAAGAAAAAATTCACACACCTAATTAAATGGGCATTTAAAAAGTCGGAATGCGAATACATATGTTCAAACTCTTTTAGGTCATTTTTTAGTAGCAACAAACAAAAGAACTATGTCAATTAGACATGCTTTGATACCATATCTGCCCTTGAATTTTTACTTGATTACATTTTTGTTCGCTTTGGAGATTCCGTATATCGTCAAGTTATCGGAATTCCAATGGGGACTAACTGTGCACCACTTATTGCGGACCTGTTTTTGTATTGTTATGAGTTACAATTTATGACTAAAATCAGCAAAGACCCATCGAAACAACATCTGGTACAAAAATTTAACAACACTTTTAGATATTTGGATGATATATTGGCTCTCAATAATGACGACTTCAGTATGTATACTAAAGAAATTTATGCTGTTGAACTTACTTTAAATAAAGCTAATACTAAAAATTACCACTGTCCTTTCCTCAATCTTGATATCTATATCATTAACGGGAAGCTTAATACAAAAATTTATGATAAAAGAGATGATTTTTCATTTCCTATCGTTAATTATCCATTTTTAGATGGTGACGGTCCTTTGTCACCATCTTATGGTGTTTATATATCTCAACTTGTACGATTCGCTCGTGTATGTAACAACGTGTTAGATTTTAGCGAGCGAAATTTATGTATTACTGAACATTTTTATTACACAAGGGTTTTCGATATCATAAACTAGTCAAAACATTTACTAAATTTTATCATCTGTATAAGGACATCATTCGTAAATATAACTCAACATGCAGACATCTTATACGTTCGGGTATTTCACATCCAATCTTTTATGGTAATATTCTTTACAAAGCACAAAAAATGTCAGTATTCACCTCAAAAGCTAACAAAACCTTTAAACAGACTTATTAAGAAGGGATATAGTTACGATACTGTTGTCAGGTCATTAAAGATTGCATATTTTGGCTTTAATATTGATTCACTTATAGGGTCTTTGCATCGGAATTAAACATATTTATTCTAAAACCAGTTGTTGGCATGACACGGGTTATGTTCTTCTCATATATTTTATGATGGTATAATACTAAACCCCTAACAGGAGGGAATGTGCCTGATATTCATATGATGAAGACATAATCTTTCAATCAGTTTAATTGAGGTCTGGAGCCGGCATGTCAGTAACTGCTAGTAGTCTGTTGTTATTTATGTATTATTGTCATTTTGTTTATTTTCTTTTGTTTCCTATTCTGACATCGGACTCGGACTTCTCTTAAACTGAGTTTTACTGTGCGTACTGTTGTGCGTTTGTTTTTTCTACATTGGCTAGAGGTATAGGGGGAGGGTTGAGATCTCAAAAAACATGTTTAACCCCGCCGCATTTTTGCGCCTGTCCCAAGTCAGGAGCCTCTGGCCTTTGTTAGTCTTGTATCATTTTTAATTTTAGTTTCTTGTGTATAATTTGGAGTTTAGTATGACGTCCATTATCACTGAACTAGTATACATATTTGTTTAGGGGCCAGCTGAAGGACGCCTCCGGGTGCGGGAGTTTCTCGCTGCATTGAAGACCCATTGCTGGCCTTCGGCTGTTGTCTGCTCGATGGTCGGGTTGTTGTCTCTTTGACACATTCCCCATTTCCATTCTCAATTTTATTAAAATCGTCAGACAGTTTTCATGCCAATGGACAATACTTGGAGTCTTCGATTGTCCAAACATATATCGATTAATTGATTATTGCTTTCTCAACGTCCAGTGGCATTAAAATTGAGACATTTTTAGTCTTATGCAATCCTGATTTTGTAACACTTAGTTCCATGAAATTTTACTACCATCTTTGAAAAATTTACCAGGCTTATACTTTGGTATGCTACATGTGCATTCCATCTAAATAGGACTCTTCAGTGGCGCTCGAATCAAAACAGTTGGTAGCAAAATCAATTACGAAGTTGGAAACCATTAAAAACAGAAAACTTAAAGATGTAAAAGCTACATTATTTGATATTTGATATTTTAAAATTTTAATAATTTCAAATGTGTTTCTCTTCTGTGATAGAGGGTAACTGATGACAAAAGAGAGTTTTCTAAATTTTAAAGATTGAAATCATACAATTGAAAGTTTTACGGTCGCGTTATGTAATATCTGTGTCACAGATTACCACGGATATGTTCAATACAATTCCGTCCTTTTTCGCACGATAGTGGCATAATCGAATGTGACTACTCCTCGTATTTTGTAATTGCGATGAGTAACTCGACGGATCAATGTGCAAACCATCTATACAATTAACGAAAAACATATCTAGAATGCCAAATGTTGTAAACCAGAGGCTCCAAGTCAGGAGCCTGTAGTTCAGTGGTTGTCGATGGTTCATGTCTGTCACATTTATTTTGTTATCAATTAGGCCGTAAGGCCGTTAGTATTCTCAGTTGAATTGTTTCATATTTTTGATGTCAGTGCTTTTTATAGCCGACTAAACTGTATAAGTTTTTCTCATTTTGTATGGCCGTACGGATGCCTACAACTGCTTACATCCTCTTCATTTGAATAATTGTGGATAGTTGTCCCGTTGGGAATCATACCACATCTTCTTATTTTTATCTAGAGAGAAACATACAGTCTTATGAACAATAGAAATATGCATTTACAATACGTCAGTCTCTGAATCGTCTCAAGTTTATGAAAATTTTGAATAAACAAAAACCATCAAAGATCGGCCATCAAAACTTTATTCTCCAAATAATAAAAAATACATTAGGAAAACATATTTTAAGACAGTATCGTGATTTCAAAATACTTACTTTCTTTCTAATTAATCTTCAGTGAGAAGCTGTTTCGTCAACAATTACACCATAAAGTTTTCCTAAGGCAACATTTATTATGATTTTATTAAGTTTAGGTACTTACCGATGTAAGCTATTAAGTTTTATATGCCGAATGAACTAATCAAAGTTTGACAGTTGGACTCTTTCGAAAATTAAACTTAATTGATCTATTATATTTTCACATCATGAATTATCCTTTAAATTGCGCAATTAAGGTAAATTATATATGATATTTAGTTATCAGTTTTGTGCTCAGATGTAGCTTTATATAATAGACATTTGTTAGGGTAGATACAATTGAAGTCGGAGTATTGGACGTCCTTCATCCTTTAGTTACACAATAAAAAAATAAATAGCTCAAGTGTTTGCAGGTAGATCGTTAGAAGCCAGAACAGTCGTCTAGTCTTTTAATTTGCTAATTGAGTCCTAACCTCTATTGTGATATTTTGGGTTTGCATTTCCATGGTGGATGATGCATTCAAACTATTAACCTGTTGACGCTTTTTGGAGTTCAAGCGATTCCCTAGGGTTTTATTTCTTACCTTCATTTTGTATATTATAAAGGAATTAGTACTATTTAAACATCGGTTGACAACAGGTGCCTTTAAAAAAATAAAAATTAAATACCTTCCGGAGCACCTGAGATCACCCCCAGTTTTTGGTGAGGTTCGTTTCGCTCAGTATTCAGTTTTCTATGTTGTGTTTTGTGTACTTTTAAAATTGAGAATGGAAATGGGGAATGTGTCAAAGAGACAACAACCCGACCATAGAGCAGACAACAGCCGAAGGCCACCAATGGGCCTTCAATGCAGCGAGAAACTCCCGCACCCGGACGCTTTTGTTTGTATGTTGGTCTTTTTCTTTTTTAGCCATGACGTTGTCGGTATATTTTCCACTTATGAGTTTGAATGTCCCTTTGGTATCTTTCGTCTCTATTTTACGCATATGATCCGAGGTGCTTTTATGGATATACTTTCAAGTGAGAGGTTAAGCTAGCTATTAAACTAGGTTTAATCCACTATTTTCTACATAAGAAAATGCCTGTACCACAGTCAGGAATATGACAGTTGTTATCCATTCGTTTGAAGTGTTTGTTTGAGTTTTTGAATTTGCTATTTACTTAGGGACTTTCCGTTTAGAATTTTCCTCGGAGTTCGGTATTTGTGTAATTTTCCTTTTTTCATTTGGAACCTTTAAGAAGTTTGGGTCATCAATGCTCTTCAACTTCGTACTGTGTTTGGCCTTTTTAACTTTTTTAATTCGAGCGTCACTGATGAGTCTTTTGTAGACGAAACGTGCGTCTGGCGTACAAAATGCAATCATGGTATATATCATGAGTTTATTCATAACATTAACGTTACCAAAATTGCTGCACTAGATGCGCATTTTGCCAACAAATGTCTCTTTAGTGATGCTTGAGGTCAAAATTTTTGAAACAAATCCAAAAAGTATTAAAAATTGAAACGCTTATAAATCAAAAGACAAAAGGTACATAAAAGTATAGATTTGGTGCGTCCACCAGCTTTTCTAGATTCACTTTCATAAGTAAGGCTAAAAACTCAAAAAAGTTTGAAAGCCAAAAATGAACACAAACCTGAAGATGTAAGTGTCAGATTCAGGTGAGGCGCAAAAGGCGTATGCTCCCTTTTTTATAGAAAAAAAAAAATCGAAAAGCATTTCGATGAACCATGTGTCTCACCTTCGATTGCTGCCGTCAGTATAAAAGTGTAATGTTGATTGAAAAAAAAAACCATTTATGGGTAAAAAAACAGTCAAAGATTTTAAAAAACTTTTTTCGTCAGGTGATATTTCTTCAAAATATTCCATAAAGGTTGAACCAAATTAATAATGTCTAAAATATGTAATCCAAGACTATGCATTTGATAAATGCACAGCAAATTAAGTCAATATACCAGTAAAATACGGAAAATTAGAAAAATATATAAAATTTTGATTTAGACACTATCAATATCGCTTAATTAGGAAAATGCATTTGGTAAAGTTCCATAAAATTCTCTGAAGGTTTGACAAAGTCGTTTTATCTGTATAAATTGTTGGAGAGTTTGAGAAAATTGTTGATTTTTAAAAAAAAATTATCAATAAAATATGGAAAAAAATGAAGAAAAAAAAACATTTTCAAATTTTATTCTGGAAACCGTCTTTTGATAATAATAAAAAAAAGAAACAAAAAGCTGCTGTTTGAATTTTGAGCGGCACGAAATTTATATTTATCAATAAAATACCATGACCTTCGACACAATGATCTAAATCTTTGTAGGGTAGTTAATCTCATTTTATGTGAACTGGTTTCAAAGTAAGTAAGCAATCTGACAAAAAAACATAAAGAATCCGGAAATCAATTTTCGGTACTACTTTTTGTGTTTTAGTAACTATGAACTTGACTTTAGATAAAGTGACCTATTAATCGATAGATATATCTCATTAATCATATGTGACCATATCTCAAAGTTAAGTTGCAATCTGCAATACTTTGAAAGAACACCAAGAAATAACTTTTCTGCACACATTTTTGTCTATTAATAGTAACTTTGACCTTGATATATGACTGGTGACCTTAAAATACATTTCTGTATGTGTGGGCCTACCTAAAAGCACATCATCGTTATATAATCAGACAAGAACTAGGATCCATATATGGAGCCTTATATATTGAGATATATATCAAGACTGTAAAGTTATCGTTTTTGGACGCTAACAAAAAATTACCAATTTAACTAGATTAAGGGGTTCTCACAGTTAAAAGGGAACTGTTCGAAAATTTCAATATACAAATACATATATATCATATATTTCAGTAAATAGTCAAATCACTTGTGAGCACTGAATGGTAAAGGTTGTTTTAATTTTGCAATTTGAACTTTTGATTTGACATTAATTTATTTTGATTTTATTAGAAGAACATTATGACTTCCGGAGCACCTGAGATCACCCCCAGTTTTTGGTGGGGTTCGTGTTGCTCAGTCTTTAGTTTTCATGTTGTGTTTTGTGTACCGTTGTTTGTATGTTGGCCTTTTTCTTGTTTAGCCATGGCGTTGTCAGTTAATTTTCGACTTATGAGTTTGAATGTCCCTCTGGTATCTTTCGCCTCTCTTTTACGGAAATTCAACGTAATAGAGTGAGATTTTATCGATGGAAAAGAAATGGAATACCATTTTGACTGTTAAAAAGACTATTTGATTGTTGAATTGCGGCAAAATATAGTAATATATACAGTTTGAAAGTATATGAAACAAATAATACCCACTTCGGGAAATACCATTTAGGTCATGTTGATATACACTGAGAACATTTTCATAATCGAGGAGAGATATGTGGGAACCTAAATAACGATTAACAATACAATTTTCTGAAATTAAAGATAATGATAAATATTTTGCTCCATTTAACACCTACGGTAACTGTGAAATGCGATTTGTAGAATCACAATAATTTTTTAGGCTCATTTAGTGCACATAATATATTGAAAAAATGGCGTTGAAACCTTGCGTTAGAGACCGTTGCCCACCTCTTGTCTATCGGAAATTTTTAAAACCTTAACACAAATAGGTAAGATTAACTTTCTTTTGATAATAGTGAATGTAAAAATTAGGCAACATTTTGAATTAAAGCTAAATTCCTTTGTTCATAATTGTACATTTTAGAAAAATTGGTAGATATGTACACCATGCACAACTTATCTAATTTTGAATAAAAAGTATGGTTATACACATCATTTTGAAACTTGAATATCTAAGTATGTATTATATGACATGGGCGTAGTACTCTCTGTACTGTGTTGTTTGAACTCTTAAAGATAAACTTGAGACTTGGTAGATAAAGCTATCAAGCAAGTGACACACGAGTTTTCATGCAATCTCAACCCCCCCCCCCCCCCCCCCCCCTAAAAAAAAATAAAAAAATTTGATTTTCCAGATAAGCATTCTTGACTTTCTTTAGGTGTTTTGTAGTTTCCGTAATACGAATGCATTTAACATATCCTTAAACAGCGGTAAGGTCAACGAATTGATGCAATCGTTTGCTGGGCAATCTAGGGATCTGGATGTATGCCAACAAAAAATTATATATGGTGACCCAGCTTGTAATTCTTTTTATCTGAAATATATTGAGCGGTTTGGAAGGTGTTTCAAATTCAATGGATCTATTATGTAGGAAAAAACACTTGGTATAATAAGATAGATATGGGTGTGGTTAATGCCAAATAAGGCAAGCAGTTTCTGAATACGGGGCGCCTATAGGGTATTTAAACCTGTCCGTCAGACTTACATCAAATTCAATATTTCAGTTTTCGAATTCCTTTTAAGTTTAAATTGAGCCATTTAATTGCACAATTAAATAACTAGGCTGGACTTTTATTCTTTAATTTCAATGGAATATTAGGATAACAAAAGTTAAGTGATTTTAGCTTTTCAAGGAGCAAATCTCTGCTCATTTTGACTGTCATGGCCAAAATTAGCTAAAGTGACAGTTGAAGGACACTTTTAAAAATTAAACTCGACTGATATAAATATATTTTCAACATTACTAATTGACTTTTATATCGCATAATTAAGGTGATTTATGTATCAGATATTTGTTTCTCAGATGTAGCTTTGAAAAATTAATATGGGTTAGGGGAGATACAATTCAAGTCGCTTTATTACAGCTCCTTCGACCTTACATAGTAAAAAATATATAGCTAATGTGTTCGCGGTTTGTTAGATGCCAGAATAGTCGTATAATATGTGTATTTGCCAATTGTGTTCTATTCCATATTGTGACTTTTTTAGTTTACATTCCCATTGGATATGATTTTCTAATGTTGATTTCAGTTACATTGCCTAGCAAAAATATGTTTTCAATATCTATGACTTTGACCATTGACATAGTGACTTTAAAATCAAAAGGGATCTTTCTTTCATTAAATTGGACCAGAAATCACTAAGGAGGGGAATTTGAAATAGTTTGAATAACTGAACAACTAACAATTATAATATAAAGGTATAGGTTCATTGTGCTGTCAAATATGATGCGCTATTACAGCTATTGCTTTTGGACTCTTCAAGAAATGAAGAGGTTCACACAGGTAAAAGGGAACTCTTCCAAGAT